GTCGTTCGGATGCGAGTGATTCCTAAAATTGTGGTCAGGCGACGGAAAAGTTCAGATTCAAACTGACGCCCGCGATCTGTAGTGACGGTTGAAGGGCAACCGAAGTTTGCTAATCATCGTTCGACGAAGGTGCGGGCCACTGTTTCAGCAGTGATGTCCTTAATAGGTACTGCTTCTGGCCATCGAGTGAAACGGTCTACGCAGGTTAAGAGGTAAGAGTATCCATTTGAATCTGGTAAAGGTCCTACTAAATCCAGATGAACATGGTCGAAACGAGCATCGGGAGTTTTAAATGAGCCTAAAGGACACTTATTGTGTCTGATAACCTTAGATTTTTGGCAGCTTACACAGGAGCGTGCCCACTCTCTCACGTCTTTATTCATGCCAGGCCAGCAAAACCGTTCTGCTATAAGCTTGATGGTTGCACGGACGCCTGGATGAGAAAGTTTGTGCAATGGATTGAAGACATTGCGTCGATAATGTTTCGGCACGATTGGGCGATCCCTACCTGTAGATGTGTCACAAAGTAAGGTTTCGTTACCTTTTCCCATCTGTTTGATGCGTAGTTTAAGGGTTGTGGACGATAACTCATGCTGAAGATCAGTGTCTTCTTTTTAAAGCTCGGCGAGTTTAAGAAGGTCGATTCCTTGGAAACTGTTCAAGGAAGTTATGCGAGATAAGGCGTCTGCAACTACATTGCTTGCTCCAGAAATATGTTGAATATCTGAAGTAAACTGCGAAATGTGGTCCAGTTGTCGAGACTCACGGGGAGAGTATTTGTCAGAAGGAGAGCTTAACGAGAAAGTGAGCGGTTTATGGTCCGTGAAAAGAGTGAATTCACGGCCTTCGATATAGTGTTGGAAATGCCGTACAGCACGATACGTAGCTAGGAGTTCCCTACCGAATGTGCTGTACCTTGATTCGGTGTCTAGCAACCTTCTAGAGAAAAATGCCAAGGGTTGCCAGGAGTTGTTAACCCATTGTTGTAAGACGCCTCCGATTGCCGAGTCCGCTGCGTCTACTGCGATACTAATGGGTGCTTCGGTGTCCTGATGTGCGAGCATTGTTGCTTTAGCAATCAGTTCCTTAACTGTGGAGAATGCTTTTCGTGCGGTGTCGTCCAAATTAATGGATTTAGCAGTTCCACGAAGTTGGTCGGTAAGAGGTTTTATGAGTAACGCGCATTTCGGTATGAATCGTCAATAGAAACTTACAAGGCCGTAAAACGTTCGTAGTTGCTTGATCGTGGTCGGTTCTGGGTGATCCAGAATTGCCGCCACTTTGGTCCTAAGGGGTCGGATGCCTTGAGCATCTATAGTGTGTCCTAGGAAGTCTAATGAGTTAGTTCCGATTTGGCATTTCTGAACGTTTACAGTAATGCCATGTTTTTGTAGTCGTTCTAAAACAAGATCCAGATGCTTGAGATGTGTTTCTCTGTCCGGACTTGCGATTAGACAGTCATCAACATACGCGTGTACGAAGTTGAGACCTCGAAAAACGTCGTCGAATCTTTGGAATGTTTGAGCAGCGTTTCTTAGACCGAAAGGCATTCGCAAAAATTCATAGAGTCCGAAGGGAGTTATGATAGCTGTTTGCGGTATGTCGTCAGTAGCCATAGGGATTTGGTTATACGCTTTAGCCAAGTCGATTTTCGAAAAACAGTTGTACCTTTCAAGGTAGCTGTCAAACCGTGAATGTGAGGCAACGGGTAACGATCGGGAATGGTTTTCGCGTTCAATCGCCGATAGTCACCAGTTGGACGCCAATCGTTGCTGTCCTTTTTAGGGACCATGTGCAACGGAGATGCATATGGGCTGTTTGACGGTCGTATGATTCCTAAGTCTATCGTGTGGTCGAACCCGTTTTTCGCCAACCTTAGTTTTTCGGAGTGGCATGGCTCGACCATGCAGGGGTGGTCCATCTCAATGTTACTTTATATCTTCTATTCATATTAAATATATTGTTCTTTCTCTAGCCTAACCTTGTTCTACATCATGTATTGGTAATTGATACGATACAGTGAGTTGGTGTAGTCGATGGTGTGACTTCCACGTAAGATCTTATAGGTTAGGCAGTTATATCATGACAAATCTACAAATTTAGGATCAGGTCTATTATTAGAGCAGTACTAATATCATAGTAGACCATAATTTTACAGGTTCATACCAATGATTGGCATAGAAGATCTGCAACAACGAAAATCCAGTGAATGGGTTTGCGTAAACCCACGTTAAGGTAAACGTACCTTTTGCCATACGTAACGATAGGTTTTCCGTTTGCCGCCTGTGAATTTAAAGCCGATTCGTGAAGCCGGTCGTTGGAAGTTGCTGCGAGAACGCTAACTTCTGCGCCAGTGTCGACGAGGTAGCGAACTCTCGTTGTCACATCTGTGACGAATAACAGACGGCTTTGTTCGCCGGCTACGGTTGCCGTTAACGCGTGCCGGCTTGGAAGTTTCCCGAATTGCTTTTCGAATCAGTTGGTTTCGTGTTTGGGAAATTGCAGGGTTTTCTGCAATTTCCGGAAAACTTTCCATACTGGTTATGATACCAGCACCAGTCGGGGTTATCTGTCTCTCGTGGTCTAGAGACAGATCGCTTACGTGACATGCTTCTACGTGGGGTGCGCGATCTCTTACGGTCGGTACGAAGATTAAGATAACGCGTGAGTGTATGGAAAAACTCGGTTATGTCATTCTGAGTCGTTTGGAGCTTTTCTTTGACTGAAAAAACCTCGGTAGTAGAAGATTTCGTAATCTCTAAGATACGATCGGCAGATGCAGCCAGCTCGTCTAAGGCGTTGTTCTGAAACGAGACCAGAACCGCCTTCACCTGTTGGGGAAGTTTTGACAAGAAAAGTTGTTTGATCAGACCTTCGTCGAAAGTTCTTGGGCCTATAACCTCTCTCATCCGTTGCAACATGTCCGTCGCAGAACCGTGTTGCAGGTCGATGTTATTGAAGAGTTGATCTAACCTTTGTCGATCGGTTAGGTCTCCTCGTTTAAGAATCGAGCGTTTTAAGATTTCGTAGGGATCGGAAACATCACTAGTAAACATACTAGGTGTTACGTACCTGTTGAATTCGCGCGGTAATGCCTTGACTACTGCGAGGAATTGTGCACGTGTGTCGTTCACGCCGTGATCGTGAAAGTCGGCTTCTGCGTAGCAGAGCCAGGCTTCGATATTATTGGGCCCGAAGGGCGTTAGTTGGAACGAGGGTAGGACATGGTCTTATTCTTGAATACCTTAAGAGTCTGTTCGGTCATAGGGGAATATTAAGTACGAGAATACGAGGAAAAAATATATAGATATCCTGAGACACGGGGAAAACATATCGCAATGTATAAAAATTAAAAAATAAGGCAATAATATATAAAAATCACAAAAAGGAACAGACTAACAGTTGCAATTAGGTGTACCATATCACGTCGGTCTCACCAATGAAGATGTCACAGGTATTCAGTGTTTGACAACGCGTTTACCAGTAACACCTTCTAATATAATTCGTAACCACCCAGAGAAATCAAAAGACAGAGTCGAGGAGATCGGATGAGTGTATTTGGCGATAACCAATATATTGGAATTCTCTGATCTAATCTGGCTAGCGATTGCGGTAGATATTGAGCACAGCGTTACCACACGTGATCTGGTGCGGATGCATGACCGAGCGCCTTCAGCTAGATGAGTCCACTAAACCATATGGTCAGCATCCAATGTTGAAAACTTACAGAGCTATTTATTTTGGGGATTTATTTACCGCTGCAACTTCATATAAGAAGATGCTTTGAGTCCCAAATGCAGTAAGGTGATCCCAGTTTGGCTCATATGTGCTCTCACAGTAACCCCGTTTTCACAGTACTTCACTTGCTAAGTCCATATGTTGAAAATGTGTCTCATCCTCAAGAAGTAAAATCACACGTCTCTCAACTTATTATTGGAAAGCTCATGATTTTGAGATCTGCCTTCCTTAAAACGTTGAAGATGGACTGTGTTTTTAGCCCCAGACGTTGAACGTAAAAATTCAAAGCGAACAGATGGAGTGGCTGTTCAAAGAATGATCTCATCGAATATCAAACTCCACCTTCGGGAGATTAACAACTTTACCTTGAGAAACACGTTCACATATTCTAATGTAGTCAAATGGTTGAGGACATAGAGATACAGTTATAGGTCAGCAATCTTCGTTTAAATTCACTGTTTAAATGCCGAATCACTGTTTTATTTTACTCGCATAGAATGAAAAGGGTGTAAAGCCAAATAACCACTCAAAGTATGAGATGTTAAAAATCTCAGAAGGTGGAGGAGAGTGTTTTCAGTTCACGGATTTTTAAAAGTTAATTTGCATTCATTTGGGAACATAGGTTAATCAGCTACAGTGAACAGCTGGATAACATTGTCGGTCGCATATAGTAATTGTACTGAGCTAAGTTTGGAGTACTTTTTGAGTGACAGTTGAAATTGTTGGTCAACACCATAAGTACATGAGGCTGAATATAGATCATAAAATCTCATACTGGGTTTGTGCAGCTTTTCGTCTCTACACATCGACGATCATTCCTCGGGGTAGTGGGCAAGTCCTACTGATCGAATTAATCAGCACAAGCTAATAAATAGGATCTGAGTAATTGACTAGAATTTCATATGCATTGTATGATCCCTTCTCCTAAAATGCGTATGCAGTTGTGAGAATCTAAAATATTCTTACTAAACACCACAGAATAACCGCACCCATCTTTCAAGAACAAAGGACTATTTATAAAGAGTAGATGGGGAAGCATTTATAATAAGATTCATTGACAGAAGAATAATAAAGCCATTAGGCTCAAACTTCATAGTGTTTAAAATACGTGTGGATGTAAGAGAAATTTCATCTACCTAGCTTCCGTGCCTACTTTCAATGAGTCGCTGCTAGCCTGAAGTAGAAACGTAAAGAATATAAAAGACGGATAAATGTCCTAGATTAAGGACACAAGGCTATTCATAAATAAAATGGATGTAGAGAAAAGAAGTTAGACTTGATATAGCGATTTTGTTAAAGTGATCAGCCGGGGAGTTTGAAACCCTCCGTAATCAGCTGACTATGTCCGGCGACAATAAGAACCAAAATGAGGTGGAGGTTATGGAGTACACAACTGTTAAGGTATGATGACTCAAAAACGTAAACTCCTTTTCAAAGGCTAGCTATGAGTCACTAAACAAGCGGTACAGACGCAATCACCGAGACATGGAGAAAGGTATAGCTGCTTTAAATAAGTCACTTGACGAGTTGGAAAATGCAACAGATATCACAAAAGCTACAGCAGCACTTAGCAGAGTTCTAGAAACCGTTTGTGGCGTGAAACGCAAAGTAGGGAAATACAAACTCACTAACTTTCCTTTAGGCTGAATTTGTATGTATTGAAGAAAGGAAGCTGTTGAAATCATGTAAACGCAGAATAGGACACCTTAGTCAGCTGTGTTTGCTTGATAGTGGGATGTTTACCCGGGCCTCAGGTCAGTACTTTTTAAAGGACAAACCCGTCGCTTTTCAAATTGCATGCAATATATTGGGTTGGATAGGTTGTCGCAGTCGAACCTCCCAATAAGTTCTCTTAGTAATTATCATCCCTTTAAATGACATGGCTGTGGTTAATTCTGACTAAAGTTTGGGTCGTTGGCATGAAGTAGCATTGAGGATCAAACGGTACTTTTGAGTTCAATCACAGTATTAAATGTAACGAGTCCTGAACGGAGCCTTACGGTACTCCGTCGAGCACTGGTTTTCTGAAAGTAGATTATGGAATTTATTCCTGTTCTTCTGTTGCTGCCTACCGAAAATCGTTTGACTTCTTGTAGTAAAGGCCCAGAAATCTATACGTTTACAAGCTTAAATAAGAGTCTATTATGTGGCACCTTATCAAACGCTCCACTGAAGTCATCGTAGACAACACCCATTGAATTTCTGCTACAAGATGACTCCGCCCGTCTTTCTTTCTATAGGATTGCTTCAGCATGATGATGCTTTTCTGAACCTACCTCCACTGTTTGAAAAGTTTTTGGTTTCCGCAATCGTCAGAATGATCGGCCTGATGATTCTTTCCAATATTTTAACTAAAACACTAGTGAAGTTGACGGGTTTGAAGTCTGACGAAAATAGTCTTAATCTTATCTTGTTAACGGGAGTGATAGTTGCGTCCTTTCATTCCACATGTAACTTGCTGAGTGATATGAATATCGTAGCGAACGGAGTAGTCATGTTTACCGCAATTTCTCTCGAAATTCTTAGATCTAGCTCGTTTGACCCTTCTGACTTTTTTGTGCCTAAGGACCTCAGTCCATTTAGTGCGTCATCCTGGTTATTCGGTTTGGCTACATGACTTCTCGACCCAGTCCTTTGTCTGGAGAAGGCTCGTGAATGAAGACCATCTCGAAGTAATCAACCATAATCTCTGCTTCCTCTTCTGATATTATAAATGCGCTCCATTCCGGGCATAAACTGAAAATTTGTGGGTGCGTTCTTATTCTGTAGTTGATGTGTAGGAACAGTCAACCAGTCAGTAACAACGTAGGAACAACCGATTAGGGTGCTTGATTACAGTTTGTACTAATTAATTTTCATATTTATGCTGAGCCAAACAGATTGTGTTTATATGCTTATTCCGAATCAATTTGTAACGTTTCATTGCATTTGCTGCACCAGTGCTGATGACGATGTTCAAGCATTTCTTATTTGATCTTAGTAAACCTCGGATCTGTGCGTGTTTTTTCTTCGGGACGACAGTTTATTTATTTAAACATGAACATGGGTACAATGAAGCACCAAATAAATATACGCCGCATAAATCGTTCGATTTATATAAGGGCTGGGATACTGCCCGGGTGCCCAAACGGAAGCAAACTGTTTTCTTAGGGGGCCACACCCTGAGCCTTTGACCTGGAGGTCCAGTCCAGTGGATCAACGTAAGGAGATGCAGTCCCTTGATAGCCGGTGACCAATAATTGGTTCATACGCCGTTTGTTCGCTCACGATCATAGAGCCCATGTGCACCATTAGTTTGGAATGAGGGTTTTCCAACTCCCCTAGGTGGGTCTGTATCAATCGACCCAGTTAAGAGGATGGACATTCACTTTTCGTCCTCTCAATTCCGAAAACAACACCCTGGTGAGAGAAGGCAGTGTGTAGAACAAATGTATAAAGGTTCTAACTACTTAAGTTTTTTTATGAACAAACTATTAATTACATTATCATAAGATCAGAATCACTTATTGTTTTGTTGTATGACATTTAGTAACCAAAAGTTTTCAGTGTTACGGCTTCAGGATCATTTGGATTCTAGACATTCTAGTATTACTAATTTGTACTTATTTATTTCAACTTTTTACGTGACTGTTTTATAGTGTGACAAACTTGACTAAGGTACCGTCATAGTCAGCTTTACTACAGTTGTAATCAAATAACAAGTTACGTTAAAAGTAGTAAAAAATCCTGAATTTTGACATTAAGTTATATAACCACATTCCGCTCATTTGTATCATTTGACACTAGTAATCGTATTTCGGAGAAAAATGTCTTTTTTCTTTATCTATCTCAATCTTCACTGTTTTTCTAAATGATGCACTATTGCAGATGAGCTACATTTCAACGCTAGTAGTAATCAAAAGTCTGAAGAATCAATTTCTAAAGTTAATAGTAATGAATCAGACACTACACTTAAACGCCGTTCTACTTATTCTGTTGATGAACGCGCACTTTGTCTAGCAAGATTCCAAAGACACTTGACAGATTATCTTTTTACAAGTGGTCAACCTTTATCGGCTTTGAAATTCGCTCAGGAGAAAGCCGAACTGGGTGATCTATGTATGATGGAAGTTTTTGATGAAGCTGTGTCTATTGAGAAGGCACTTTTAGAAGGAGATACAGGTCCAGCATTCTCTTGGTTGCAAGAAGCTAACTTCAAGTTGAAGAAAAACGATGTAAGCAAACTAGTACTTTTTACTTATCAGTAAAAATGTTTTACCAAATCATTCCTTGTGTGTCTGGTTCTCCTGTGAAGCGGGATTGAGCTGTACTGTTTGGGTTGTCACGGGAAAGTCTGTATGGTGTCTGGTTCTCCTGAAAACCAATGTAAAATTACCCTGGCCCACAAGGGTATATTATATAACTAAACTATGAAATCATCCCTTGTAAGTCAATAGTGTAGGTGCTTGATTAATCACCAGTCACATTTCGGGTTTGCGCTGACAGTACCGTATAAGTTGTCAATGAAGCTGGTTCAGAACTGTCTGGAAGGTCATCAGAAATATGTAAAATGAGCAAAGAATAGAAAATTAGTTAAAACTATCCATCTCTTTTAAACCTAGTTTGACTGCTCTCATTCACATAATATTCACTTCGGGAATAGAATCACATCATATTTTCATAAACTGCTTCCACATATTTGATTGATTAAACATCGTTTACATGCGAAAATTTGTAGTGGATTAGCTTCGAGATAACCGTTATTAAATAAATCCCAACAGTCTTTGAATTTAGAAGACAGCACGAAGCGCTTACTACAGTTTACTATTTAATATCACAGATCACTAAGCCACAACAATACCAAGCGAATTCGAACAGAAAAGCTAATGTGCGCGAGCGAGCGAATTAAGAGTCGGATAAAAAATTGAATAAATAGTCGAGTCAGTTAATTAGATTCAACCATATATATAGGAAAGCAAACGATTCATCGAGCGACTTAAGCTAGAGAGAGGGATATATGCGTAAACTGTCACATTTGATCAAGTTTACATGTTCTTACAGACACGATAATAGTGATAGTACAAAAACATGGACATTGTTACTGTTCAAATATCACTGTCTGTTAAATAAGTTAATTGAAGGGCTTGATAAAATTAACCGTAAGCAAAATTAAGTGTTGGAGAGGTGCTGTAAATTGCCAAAGAACGAATAAATGTTGATGAAAGGATTTCGGCTTTCATATTTTTTATCGCTTCCATGAATTTATACTTTACGATGTTTTGTTTCTCAATAACTTTTTATTTAGTCGTATTATGAATTTGATCTTCGTCTATTCGAGTTCTATCTACTTGTCAAGCAAGGGAAACGAATTGAAGCCATCCAGTAAGTTGTTGACTTTAATTGTTATTTCTTGTCGATTTCATGTAAAGCTTATTTACTACCAGTTTTTACCTATTAAATGGTCAAATTGATAGTTCATTTTATGTGAATACTATAGTTGTATTCACAGCTTTTCACGTATATTCTTAAGTGCCTTTCACTTAATAATTATCATTGTCAGATAATTGCAATGTAAATAACCTTTAGCTTTTACCAGTTTAACAGCCTCCAGAAATGGAAAAATAAGTTTTGATTACCTCATAAACTTCAATGAAGAAGCCTCTATCCACTGGCACTGGTTGAACTGAAACTCAATAAGTGCTTGTAGTGATGGTATTGGACAACTGATACCAGTCAATTCATAGCATACTTCGTTTTAGAGGTTACCAATTCAATTGGATATATTATAATCGAGTTAGCAATGGTATAATTTTGGAGAAACAACAAGTTTTCATACCACTCCTGAAACTAAGAACAGATTACGTGCGGACTTTCTAGGTGTGAATGAATAGTTTTTGAATACTTATCAGCTGCTTAGACTTTTTGATACCTATGTCTCGATTCCACGAATCTCTCTCTCTCTCTCTCTCTCTCTCTCTCTCTCTATATATATATATATATATATATATATATATATATATATATATATATATAATGGTTTTTACAACCAATTCTATTATCCATTTTCGCTATATCACAAAACAGTTGTTGATAAAGTAACTTGACGAAATATCTATGTGAAAGCTTGGCAAACCCAATTATAATTGATTTAGTTATTTCTCATGTCAATGAGTTGACCAAATATTTCATAGTGATCTTTTTAAAGATATTGATAAGAAAGTGCAGTTATGAAATTCGCTTGTTCTTGATTATTCCAGGTAAGCTGGGCAATAAGTGATTTACCATACAGTATTCTCAAGGAATTAGTTTAAAGATATGTCAATTTTAACGACAATCGGAAAGTGCAAACGATATTTATCAAACTTATTTTTAAAGCTAGTATTGCTGTTCTCTGGTATTGTTTAAACAGAACACAAGCAAAATGTAGGGCAATAGTCACTAGTTACAGTTATGAGTTATGCCTAATAACTTGTCTGTCTACTCAATGGCATGATTTTTCATACTGCATCACGGCAGCTGAAACGCTTCAACAGATTCAACCACAACCATGGTTCATCTTGTGCACCACTTTATAGACCAACTACGTTGTTTTTTAGACATTTTAATTTAAAACTAACAGAATAATCTATTTGTTAGCCTTTAACACTGTATACACTCAATACGTGTTTCAGAATGAATTCACGGTCGGTTTTACTCTACACTTTCATTCGCTCTTCAATTTATTTTCTTTCAAGTACAGCCACTGATTATTTATATATTATTGAGGACAGGCAAAGTCCATTAAATCTAGCTCGGCTTGGTGTTTAGTAACGATACTAAGTACATACACTGGTCGGCAGTTTCGTTAACTACCGAAAATCAGTATAGTTCTATGGCGTACTAGAATATAAACGGAATTCAAGTAGGTGCATAAAAAAGAGAAGCATTCCTTTAAACACACCCGTTGATGACTGAATTCAGTACAGTTTGACAAATTCGTCATGGCTTGTAGACGTGTATATAATATTAATCCTTAAGTTGATAACCACGGATGAGAATTTACCCTATATAATTATGCTTGAAAATAAAATTGTCCTAAAGAGAGCAAGAACAAAGATTGGTGCAGAATAATATGAATTCATTTTATTTCGTTAGGTTCTCATCAGTTGCTTACAACCTAAAATATTTGAAATTCAAAATTATTACAGATATTGGAATATTTATACATAAGAGAGTGATTAAGGATGAATAAATGTATGATGGTGTAGCGAAGATTCCGATAGGGTTGATGAGGTCATAAAATTTTGTCTTGAATAATGACGCAATAAATAAACAGAGAAATAAATGAATAAAAAAGGGGGTTATTGTTACCAGGGTAAAGAAAGATTTATTACTGTCTCTTTTTGTATACATAGATCTGGTTTTAGACGTTTGATTGCTATTGCTTCGGCAAATTTCAAGAGGGAACTATGTGTATGAAATAAAATTGTCATCCACTTGTACTTCTCTTTGCCACAATCATTACATTCATTTTTATATTGGTTGTTTAGATCTTCCCATTGGTGTTTACAACTGCAATTGGTCGGTCTCTTATCGGCACATGTACATCCTGTGCCTATTTCTTTGATATTGCCTTAAATTACAAGCATTATAAGCAGAGATAGATGGTGGCTAGCAATGGGATTTGGGGACGCAAGTTGCGCCCTATTTATTCTGGGTGCTGGGTTCGAGTCCCGGAGTGAACATCAATTCTGGTATGCTGGTACATCCAGTGGACGAAACGCGCGTCCTAGATCCCACCGCTAGCCACCATCCATCTCTACTCATAATCATTACAGTTCGGAAAGGGTGTTCAACTTAATACCGTTACGATGTCTTGATAATGCCCGTCAACAATGAATAAATTTCTTCCGTATTAGAGTAGCGATAGTAATTATTTCATTGATTAAAAAGTGATGTTCACGGTTTTTAGGCATGCCAGAAAATACATGAATTCAGTGAAACAAGCTGATGATTATCGTGCCACAAAACTTGGTCAGGCGATGATTTTATTGGCAATGCGTACACCTGAAGAACTTCAGAATAAGGCAGTATGTTTAATTTTCTTGATTTTACTGAAATCTTATCTTTTGTTCATGGTAAACTAAATAGAACTTTCTACAATAAACCATCATATTGTGGTTTTGTGTAACATTTAAATATTAATTATATTCTCTGTTCACGTAAAATTAACCATAAAACAATTATCATAGATTTTAACAATTAGTATGTGGTAAAAACTAAAAAGAACTCTGTTATTTAAAGCTTTCTAATTTTAGCTGCATTACCATTCACAGATAAAAGCGTCTTCACAATATTCAGATAGTCGAAATTGAAAATAAACCTTTATAACTAATAACTTTGACAGCGCACATCCTCATTGAAGTGAATAGAATATTTCTAAATTAGTTATCAGTAGATAAATTGATCTTTCTTTTAAATTTTATGTATATATGAGAACATATATCTCTTGAATAGAGAATTTTCCCTGGTCAGTAGTTTGTTTCGTTGTACATAACCCATATAGTACCAGTTGAACACAAAAACGAGTCCCATAATCTGAATCTTAGTCTTGCCTAACCTTTGACATCTTTTACAATAACTGTATACGATGATGTAGATTTTAGGCTATATATATAGTAGTTTGTAGTTATTCAATGATTGTAAACACAAGACCTTGGGACTCATACTAGCACAGAGAGGGGAATCAGCATACTGAAAGGAAGAGGAGTAGAAATAATATTAACTACAACGCATATTAAAACATCGGGATAACAGTACAAAAGAAACAAATGGAATTAGAGAAATAAAAATTATACACAATATTTAGAAAAGGGTAGAGTTTTTTCTTGGTTCACTGTGATATAAATGAATGCGATATGTATTGTTTCGCACGTTTAGTGCCGAATATTTAACTCACTAATTATCTGCATTATTGCAATTGTGTCCGAAAGTTAATTTTTAGTACATGTTTTTCTCCTTTCTCAGGATCAGAATAAGCTAACTGAGGAGTGGATAGTTAAACGGACTCATGAAGTACTTATGGAATTTTACGCTTACAATATTAACACCCCGTTTCAACTGGCTGTTAATGCTGGAATTACAGCAATTAAAACTCAGTATCCTTTTTTATTCCAAATAAACTATCAGTTATATAATTATACATTCATACGTTACCTATGTAGTATTTTGCGATGAACTCTTTACAAAAGGTGGAGCTAATTGGCTTATATGTCAGCAAACCCGTTATTCACAAGCAAATACTTAGTCTAAATGTTGTAGTTTATTCTCCATGGCAGAAAGGTGCCGACTGTAGTAACATATGTTCATCTCTTAACAATAGGTAAATAACATTAGTGCTTATGATGATGGGTTGCAGATTCAAGCTCTAGTGAGACAACCAACATTGGGATAACCGTATATGTAGATGGTAGAAGGCACATCCTGGTTGTAAAATATAACCTAGATATACGACTACGTTTAATATTGTGGGTGCTCTTATAATTATCCAATATACCACTATTTGTTTGTCAATTTAATTTTGTGCAGTTAAACTGAGCAGCTCAGTTGTAACATCTCTGACCATAGCACCAGTTTGAATCCCACAGGGAGCATCAGTTTCTCGAAGATAACAGGTATTCCTTGTGGACGAGTACAAACAAGTGGGAAACCAAGATCCAAACTTCCTTTTTGTTGCTTTTAATTATCTAACATCAATGTGTATTCACCGATTGCAAAAATTCACAAACCTTTACCTCAAACACGTGTTGCTGAACCTCAGTATTACAAAACGTAGTTGTCATTAGACGTAAACAATCTTTTTGATGATTGAACGCTGATAGTCGTCTAACATCCTCAACTCGGAGAGGTCAGGTCTTTCAAGGATAGAGAGAAACTGCTCACTGACGCATTGATGACCCGACATTTTTCAGTTAGACTAACGTGTCGGCGCCAAAGATGACTCATTGACAGAAACCGCTCTGGTTTCCACGGTACATAGAGTAATCTTATTACTCACGCCACTATCAGCAATAACACAGATACTCAAACTTTTCGACTAACTCCAACTACTCGTCATCAAGCGTGGTTGTAGACATAGACTATTCCCTGTCTTGTGAAATCACGTTGCATTTAGAGGATGCACAGTACATCCCATACCGGCGAGACTATAATTTATGGACGAACCAATCAGATATGAGATAACGAGTCGCGAAATTCATCTATACATTTGGCTAAATATAGTTTTGGCATTGTAGCTTATGTTTGTATACAAAAGTCGATGAACTTCTCAGGCACACCCTTCTACAGACAATCTCAGGGAACAGTCTAGTCCAACTAATCAAAGGCGACCCTGATGTCAAGAAACACATTGATTATTATCGTGCAATAAGTATGGCAGATCTCCAGAAGTTGGAGTTCCGTACGACCTTTTCCTCTTTAGACGAAACAGTCTTCATTGGCCTGGGTAAAGGAGAAAGTTTGACTAGTGTTGCTGGTTTGACAAACCAGCTGAACTGTCCCTCAAGGGTTTTTACCCGTCCTCCAAGACGTCACCAGATGTTATTGACTGGTGTCCCATTAAATTCATAGATTGTCTAACTCACACTAGGCCTCTTATCTAATATCATTAGTCTTTTCGCATCATTTATAACTAAATGAGGACGTCATGTTTTCTATAACCTTACATCGCTCCTTCCAGTTACTGTTATAACCCAAATACTCAACATCGAGACTGTGCTGTTTGTCATCCATTAATCAACATGTTGGCAGTGAATTTACCATTTGCTCGTCATGATCATTCTATATTAACGTGTTACAAGACTGGTCTTCCTATGAATGATGAAAATCCCCCAATGTCATTACCAAATGGTTATGTTTACAGCCAAAAGGTATGTCAAACTTGTTTTAAATAAGTTTCACTAATTTGGTACTTCAGAAAGGTTTTCAGTACATTTATACTTGAATATATGGTATAGTTGACTTTTAGCTCTTTACATCCGAAGGGTAAACTGAAATGAGAAACTATTTTTTTAAAACTGTAACTAGTGTTTATATGGACTAATTTCTCAGTAGAAATGTGGATATATAAATGAAGAATATCTTTTAAAATAAATTCTCACTAGGTTCTGATTCATGAATAGCCAAATATAAACCACTCTTTAGGATACTGCGTATTAATTTAGGATTATTAACGTGGTATTGATCTCAATATGTTTGGTTTTCAATTGTATCTTCACTAATCATTATAATATGGGAAACACAGGGTATGAGAAATACTAATGTAATTAAAAGACGGGTAAAATTTTTTATCTGATAATTACTTTGAAGTGAATAAGGAATAATTAAATTAAGCGAGTACTGATGTTTCTTGTGTTTACGAAATTGGTAAAAATAATACCAGGATGTTAGTCAAATCACATAAAAAAATTTTATGGTAGCAGCTTTAAGTCAAATAAGTTATAGGATTGATCGACTTAACTGCACATTATTTTATTATTATGGATTGAAAACTTATTTATTATAGCTACGTGTTGATTCCACTGGCTGAAGAATGATGATAATCATAAAGTATATATTCTGTCGACCTAACGCTTTGGCTAATAAAAGAAACTGGAAAAACACAGCACTCTTATCTGCTCTTAGTTCATATGTTTCGGACGATTGGCGGAACACTTTAGGGAGCAGTTCAGTTGGCCTTCAGCTACTCTACATCTACCCATCATTCTCAGACAGCCTGAATGGAATATTGAAGTAGGTTCCACGACTCTAGCTGAAGTTCAAAAAGATATAGCTAATCTGAAACGAGGAAGAGCAGCTGGTCCAAATGGATTGGCTCCAGATATCTTTAAGTATGGTGGTCAAAATTTAGCGATTAGGTTGACTAATATTTTAGCTAAATCCTGGGAGTTCGATGTAATCCCACCTGACTGGTCCCAGTTACTGATTGTTTCAATATATATGAGAAGAGGGTCAAAATCATCCTGCAATAACCATAGAGGGATTAGTTTGACTAACATAGCATCTAAAGTACTAACCTCATTAATTGTCGGGCGCTTAACAAAGACTCATGAACTGCGAACGTGAGAAAATCAGGCTGGCTTCAGACCTGGTCGTGGCCGTATCGGCCACATATTCACCATTCGTCAGGTTCTTATTTCTTATTTATTTATTTGAACACATATATATTGGTACAGGAGTGCGCCGAATATATATGCGCCACACAAAACAATGAGAATCTAAGAAGAAGAAAAGTGAGGAACGTAAAAAAAATAATAAAAAACAATAACGAAGAGATTGGTGTAGGGTAGTGTAATAATAATAATAGCAATAGTAGGGGAACAGAAGGGTACAATCAGAAGAAATCTTTCGGTTAAGGAAGATACAACCACTTTTTTATGAAGAAAGTAAAAGAAGGTTACAGCAGGATCGCCACTGGCTTCTATTCTGAGCCATATCTGATAGCGTCTCTAGCCACTGTGTTGCACCATCTCTCAGACCCCAACCAGGGAGTCGTCAGGTTCTAGAACGCAGGCATGCTTATCGGCGTCCGGAAATGATACTTTTTCTTGGTTTAAAAGCAGCATTTGATTCTGTAGACCGAGAGGTTCTGCAGCAATGTCTGTTATTGAAAGATGTACCTCAGAAGTACGTAGACCTTGTGAAGGCATTTTACTCGAACACTATTAGTCGAACTAAAGCTTATGGCGAACTATAATCTGATCTTGTAACCTCAAGTGGTGTCCAACAAAGCCGTCCACTATCTCCACTTCTGTTCAACTTCACCACAGACATACTAATGAAAACAACGTTCTCGTCCACTGAATTCTCGGGCATCGATCTCCTTCCAGGAGATCCACTTATCGACTTAGAATATGCAAAAGACATATTCATGTTTGGTGAAGACACTGATAAAATGCAGTCTTTTGGTAGCACTGAGCAACAATGCCAGAATGTTTGGGATGCGCTTCTCTCCCTCTAAATGCAACCTGTTGCTCCATGAATGGCCTGCGTCACCACCTGAACTGAGGATAGGGAGTGAACTAGTCAAACGCGTCGACAACCTCACCTTAGAAGTCTGATCGGCCCTAATGGGTCGTTGTCTGACGAAATTTTTGCACGGATTCAAAAGGCTCGTTTGGCTTTTGCAAACTTACGTCACCTATGACGAAGGCGAGATATCCGTCTATCAATTAAGGGACGAGTATACTGCTCAGCAGTTTGTTCTCTTCTACTTTACGGCTGCAAAACGTAGCCATTAAGGGTGCACTATAGTCGTAAGTTATTATTGCTTGAGCATAAACGTCGCAGAAACATTGCTCGCATTTGCTGGGACCACCGGGTAAGTAATAGTGAGGTTAGACGTAGAATATTATGGAATGATGGTAAGTCAGTTGATGAGGTTGTAATTCTTCGTCGACTGAGATGGTTGAGCCACGTATTACGTATGCCTGAACACCGATTACCACGACGCGCGATGCTAACTAATGTCGGGGATGGTTGGAAGAAAGTTAGGGACAGCCAAACCAAAACGTGGCATCAGTCCTTGAAGTCACTAACTTCTAATCTTAGCCATGTTGGTAGATGCAGACTACTTGATTGGGGTTTGCGTGACTATCGTAACCAATAGTTGGAGACGCTGGGTGACATGACCCAGAATCGATCACAATGGCGTCGGTGGATACACTCTCTGTTTTCACTTAACCTGTGAGATTAAAATTGCTTTATATCTTTCAACGAACTAATTCTTTTTCCCTGTATCATATCTTTATATGAAATTTGTTTTTACTACCATTGAAGTGACTGCTTCTATAAATTTGGTGTTCATCTTGTACTGATGAGGTATGACAACTTGGACCGGTCTGGTCCGACGTCGTAGCTGACTGAAAACTCTCAAGACAACAGCATATCGAGGCAAAACATGAGTATGCTCCGGATACTTATATTTTAGGTATCCCTTTAGGCGAACAAACCCCGAGTGAGTAAGCACACAGCGCGAAAGACATTACAGATAATATAAAGACCAAACTTCCTAAAGTATCAACAAACTATGAATCAAAGAAAGCACCTCATGTGAACATTGCTTTCAGAGGTGATAGCACTGCAAGCATCATGAAGAGGATTATTCCTAAATGTCTCGAAAGGATCAATGTTCAGCAATGACCTAAATAACAAGCTCTTGCATCTGACCACTTCTGTGTGTATTTTTAAGTTCACTTGCTCCTGACGTGCTAGGTATATAGGCTCTTCGATAAGTTTCTTTTTTGAAAGGATTCAAGAAAATAACATGGTTAAAAATGTAGAGCTGGATCAAGACCCACGATAATTGAACGACTTGTGAACAAGTCCATACAGAACACAGTATTAGTTTTAGTGCATAATTAGTTGTAATATGTATCGTTTGGGAAATGATTAGTTGAGCGTTACATTCTTTGGTTGTTATCAACAATTTTCTCAATAATGATGGAAATAACATCTTATCCGTATCAATCCATCACAATATAAAAGTTAACTGTTACTGTGTATAAAGTCTTGTGCAAAATGAGAGAGTGACTAGATCCTCAGAATAAGATGACTTTATTCTACTCCAAGGCTTTTCACTAGCTGTAAACAAAATTAAGTTACACCGTATAATATGATCAGTGATAAAGATTTGACACCATTTGTTTAATGAAGTTGAGATGCAGCTCAAAAGAGGATAGGTATTCCGAAGACACAAAATACGGGACTAAACACTTAAGTTAAGATTAAATATGACTAATCTATTTATGTAAATTAGGGGGAGTGAGGTCGATATTTCATAACTATGATTGTCACATAACAACCCACATCAATAGCACTACAAATTAATTAAAGCTTAAATCTAGTTCAAGATACTAATGCAAATCCTTGGGAGGTCATTTTCAATATATAGTAAAAAATCTAATACATTTTATTGGTTTTATTAATTTTACTTGTTTTTGTAGGGTATCGCTGAGTTAACACGTCCAGATGGAACAATAACATGTCCTCGTTCAGGGAAAACATTTGAAGCCTCAGAAGTCCAGAGAGTCTACATAGTCTGATTGCTTGACAGTTTTTCCGATATGCATCCACCATTACATCGTTACCTTTTTGTTCTTCATTCATAATTTTCATTTCTCGCCATCAGAATATCCTGTGGATGATCTTATCTTTCATCTTTTCGGTTGGTAATTGTACAAAGTTCTTCCATGTACATCGTCAATATTTACGACCGACAAATTGATTACTATGAGTTGTATACATTATATTAACCTCATTGATATGTATTGTAATTGCATACAACTTCATACCAAAAAAATTAAATAAAGACTGCCACTTCCTGATTTTCGAACAAAACTTAACAGTAAACAGTCTACTGGGAAATTACGTCGAACAAGATAAGGTATCACAGTAACTAATCGCAACTACGTTTTTAAAACTAAAATCATGTTAAGATGGTCTTATAACATACTGATGATTAAGGCGAATGAACTGCTAATTTTTTAGTGGCACAAATGCCCTAATCTTATATGGCTAGATTTCAGAGAACAGGATCATTGACCAACTGACGGAGTAAATACGAGATTAAAATTATTTTCATATAGAATATATTTAACCCAAAATAGTGATCTCATCTATAAAATCGTTACCGTACGCTATCCAAGTCTAAGAGCAATAAGCTCTTTCGCTTAACAATAGGTGACAAATGAAGGGGAAATCAATCTCAACCGAACAACGATGAAAAATAAAGTTCTAATGTTCGTTATTACGACTGTCTGCATATGCTTAAATGCAAGGCAAAGGGAGGGATAAATTATGAATTGAAAGACTATCACTCTTCTTACACACAATTTATTTGAACACATAAATACTGGTACAATGAGGAACCAGACACATATGCGCCACACAAGTCGCACTTGATTTGTATGAGGGCTGTGATACTACCCGGGTGTCCAAACGGAAGCAAGCTGTTTTCTTAGGGGGCCACACTCGGAGCCTTTAACCTGGAGGTCCAGTTTATTGGATCAACGTAAGGAGATGCAGTCCCTTGGTAGCCGGTGACCAATAATTGGTTCATACGCCTTTTTTTCGCTCAGGACCCTGGAGCCCATGTGTACCATTAGTTTGGAATGAAGGTTTTCCAACTCTCCTAGGTGGACCCTTAGTGTCCACCAACCCGGTTAAAGCGCCGGGCACAGTTGATCACTGGAAAGTGAACTGCATGCAACAGTCTAATCATAAAAATATAAGTTTACTAAGTAATATCTGATATTAACTTGTTTTTACTTGATAACATATTCAGGGATCGGTGATTGTACTAGGTAGTGCAACGATAAATGAATGTTGTCTTGCTAACAAAAGCGAGACATAGTAATATTATCCTGCACTTCAGAACATATCTTCATACAATAGTACAAGAGATCACAAATGATTTTTACAGATCCTCCAAACTTGTCACTGAGATAGTTTTTTTATATATGTTTTTGACGGAATTACTATCGAATCCCATTGTAAAATAAGACGCAAAAAACACGGAGTTTTGATTGCATTACTTAAATGCTTTATATTTGTACAAAAATATACATTCTAAAGGCCACAAAATAAAGTATTAGTTCTTTTTCTCTCCTTCATTTGTATCGAAGTCAACGTTAACATTGGAATCTGTTGTCGGGATTGACGAAAAATGACTGTCGTTTACAACTTGATAACTTGAGTTTATTTCATCACTATTTTCAAAGCCAAGGATTTCCCCAGTTTGTGCCATACTTGCTAACAGATCACTAGACATATATTTCTCAAGAATTTCACGTTTGCGCTGGGCTACTAGTGCCGCTTCAATCTGCAAATACAAATACGTGATAATCATAAGGGTAATCAAAGAATTTAAAAAAAAATTGATGGCAAGTGTTTTATCAAGCCTGCAATCAGTGGTAGATTGAATGCTATTTGATAAAAAAAAAAGTACAAAACACAGATTGGCGAGTTGTATGCATTATGTGTTGGAGGTTTTACAATAAGATTATTGATAAATGCATAATATCTCAAAGCTACATACAGTGTTTCAACATAAAGTTGGGTCTGGATCACATCGCATGCACAATGTGTGGCGCATTGGATGTTTATAAAATACATTATAAATAATTTAGACTACTACATTACAGCATCTGCGTTTGTTGTAAGGTTAAAGGAAGTAACGAACTATTTTATAAAAATCTGAATATTAATCTCACCTGCTCTTGTGAGTAGATTGGAACATGAGCGACGAATGCTCGCTTCACCGTGGTGCTTAAAGAACTCATAGATTTGGTCGCCGACCTTCCTGTATGATCATCTAAGTCATCTGTATTTTCGTCGTCATTTATTAGTGCTACTAATTGTTCTGCATTAGAAAAGTCAATCGATCCAACTTCATTATTTTCATCGATTGCCTCATAAAGACGCATCAATTCTATATCAGCCGGCTGTGTAAGAAAAACAAAGTCAATCCAGATGTTAAATTATGCGAGAGCAAATAACACTTCAAAGTTGCTTGAAACCTAGTAACAAATTAGCATTTAAAAGGCAAAATTGTATATACTTTGTGGGGGGTCAATAAAAGATAATAAACGCAGGGGGTTAAAGAATCGCTTAAACAATTGTTTAATTCTAGGTTGGATAAATTAATATTTTAGGGGAAAATACTGAGAAAATGGAGACAGAATTCTTAGAAATGAAAGGATAGTGTTGTAGTTCATGTAATACCCAATCAGTAAGAATTCGAGAAGATAGGGACACACCCCAGTCCCTCTTCGTTGTCTCCCACTGATTACAGTACGGACAAATTTAAATACCGTCAGTGGGGATCCAATCGACTAGTATTGCTTCTACCAGTGAGACACAAATTAAAAAACCCAGATAAACATGCTATAGGATCCTCGAATAAACTCATGTAACGCAGCGGTTTCAAATAGATTGATAGAAAGCGATTTTGTCGTACTTTACTAGTCCTGAATAGGGGTATCGGATAGAAAACATTTTTCGATGCTAGGACTTCCTAAAGATATACCCAACTCTATCACTTGTCCGGTCTGTATTAGTGTGAGGACGCTGACGGGTGCCATTTTGAATGGCACACGTGGTCTCAGGAAGGCTGATTCAAAATTCGTTTTCGGCGGTAGCACTCAACTGTCAATAAATCAGTGACTTAAGACCGGTTAGAGAGGACAGAATTTCCACCATAGGTGAGATGTTGTATTAGTTTGAAAATAAAATACAGAAAATGAGAATAAAAAGAAATATACAAGCCACGCAATGTAAAATAAAAACGAATGTTATCAAATAATCGTGTATATAATACTGTCCAGTTCCAAAAACCACAACACGTGAGGCGGGATTCAGTCCCAAGTTTTAGAAAGCTAAATCGTTTAAACACTAAGCCACCGCTCCATGAACATCATTTAGTGTACCTGAAACCTAAGGGACTTAAGATCAAGGTATGAATTTAAACAAATAAAGGTATATTACTTACTTACGCCTGTTACTCCTAATGAAGCATAGGCCGCCGACCAGCATTCTTCAACCCACACTGTCTTGGGCCTTCCTTTCTAGTTCTGTCCAATTTTTGTTCATTTTTCTCATGTCTATCTCCATTTCCCGGAGTAATGTGTTCTTTGGTCTTCCTCTTTTCCTTTGGCCTTGAGTATTCCATATGGGGGCTTGTCGTGTGACGCAGTTGGGTGCTTGACTCAATGTGTGTCCTATCCACTTCCAGCACTTCTTTCTGATTTCTTCCTCCGCTGGGTTCTGGTTTGTTCTTTCCCACAGTACGTTGTTGCTAATAGTGTCCGGCCAACGGATCCGAAGTATTTTGCATAGACAACTGTTAATAAACACCTGTACCTTCTGGATGATGGCTTTCGTAGTTCTCCAGGTTTCCGTCCCATACAGTAGAACTGTCTTGACACTTGCATTGAAAATCCTGACCTTGGTGTTGGTTGACAGTTGTTTTGAGTTCCAGACGTTTTTCAGTTGTAAATATGCTGCTCTTGCTTTGCCGATCCGCGCTTTCACATCTGCATCAGACCCACCATGTTCATCAATGATGCTGCCCAAATATGTAAAGGTTTTTACATCTTCCAAATCTCCATCAATGGTGACTGGATTGGTGCATTCTGTGTTGTATCGGAGAATCTTGCTTTTCTCTTTGTGTATATTCAGACCTACTGCTGCTACACTGGTCGTTTTCTCCTGCATTTGTTGTTGCGATTGCGCTAGGAGGGCCAGAACATCTGCGAAGTATAGATCGTCCAGCTGCATTCTAGATGCCCACTGTATCCCGCGTTTCCCTTCAGATGTTGACGTCTTCATGATTCAGTCGACCACCAGGAGAAAGAGAAAGGGTGAGAGTAAGCAACCTTGCCTGGCACCGGTCTTTACCTCGAACGAGTCTGTCAATTGTCCTCCATGCACAATTTTGCAGTTTAATCCATCATAGGAATTCCGTATGATAGTGACTATCTTCTGAGGCACGCCGTAGTATCGGAGAAGCTTCCCCCAAATACCCTGATACGGCCGAGAGTGGGGAGAGTCCGCTCTCCCTCTCGAAATACTCTCACACGGCCACGCGTATATAGCCTCTGCCAGGGAAGTCCTACTCACTGCCTTCTCGTGGCGGGGGTGTTGTTTACGAAAATGAGAGGAAGAAAAGCGAGTGTCCGGAGCTTTAACCGGATTCAAAACTGATGGTGTACATGGGCTCCAGTATCCTGCGGGAACAAATGGCGTATGAACCAATTGTTGGTCACCGGCTTCCATGGGATCGCATCTCCTTACGATGCTCCACTGCCTTGTGGATCAGACCTTCAGGTCGAAGGCTCGGGGTGTGGTCCCCTAAGAAAACCACCTGCTTCGGTTTGGGCACCCGGGCAGTATCACAGCCCTCACACACATCGAATGGGATTTGTGTGGCGCATATGTATTTGGTGCCTCTTTGTACTATTATCTATGTGAAAATTCCCATTTTGCCATTTGGTAAATAAAGGAACGAATTGAGCGAAGAAATTTCTTTTCAATTAGTTTTTCATCATGGCTCTACACTAATATATATACGTTTTACAATAATAATATAATACTCATCGAGTGGATACGTTACGTAATAATTACATAATGACATTTAAATTAACATTGATTAATTGGAAGAAAGAGGATTATTAATATTCAAAGTGATCAAGAAGTTGCTAAGTTGCGTAATGTAAGAAACAAAGAAGGAACAGAATTTTAACGGATGGTCAATAGGATGGTAGTTACGTAAGAATCAAGAGATGAATGTTGAGAAGTTATTAAGTTCAAAAGCAACAGAAATAAAACCACAAAAGTTAATGCCGCCAGATTAAATGCAATCTTCTACAACTATCCCAAGATAAGAACAGCCAACAAAGACAGACTGCCTGAATTCGCCAAATCTATGTGTATCTATCGTTTCAACTGCTCTTGTGGAGCCAGTTATATTGGGCGTACAATTCGGCAAGTCCGACAGGTAAAAGTGATTAAAAGTTCTATTCTCTCTCACTTGGTTGACACAGGTCATCAAGTCGAATTGAATAAAGCTTTTAAGGTTATCTACAATATCCCATCTAATTTGCCACATGGTTTGCGAGTGCGCCTCTTGCACATTGCGGAAGCCATCGCAATCCATGTTCACAAATCTGACCTTTGCATTCAAAAGAGATTCGTACAACCACTTTCCCTGCCCTGGCCATCAGTTTAAGATTTCCTTCAAAAGAACTATTTTTCATACTTCTTCCATTTTTTAACTTTTGTAATTTTATTTCTGTTGCTTTTGAACTTAATAACTTCTCAACATTCATCTCTTGATTCTTACGTAACTACCATCCTATTGACCATCCGTTAAAATTCTGTTCCTTCTTTGTTTCTTACATTACGCAACTTAGCAACTTCTTGATCACTTTGAATATTAATAATCCTCTTTCTTCCAATTAATCAATGTTAATTTAAATGTCATTATGTAATTATTACGTAACGTATCCACTCGATGAGTATTATATTATTATTGTAAAACGTATATATATTAGTGTAGAGCCATGATGAAAAACTAATTGAAAAGAAATTTCTTCGCTCAATTCGTTCCTTCTTTATTATCTATGTGTTGAAATAAATAAATAAATTTGTTCACGCTATCAAATGCTTTTTCGTAGTCACTGAAGTTGATGTAGAGTGATGAATTCCATTCAATTGATTGTTCCACAATTATCCGTAGAGTTGCGATTTGGTCTGTACACGATCTATCCTTACGGAATCCTGCCTGTTGGTCTTGAAGTAGGGCGCCTACGCAGTCCTTCATCCTGTTTAACAATACCCTGTTGAAGACTTCTCCTGGTATTGAGAGAAGAGTGATGCTCCTGTAGTTATCACAGTTGCTGAGATCGCCTTTCTTCGGTATTTCGATCAGAAGTCCTTCTTTCCAGTCTGTTGGTACTTGTTCCTCATCCCAAATATTACTGAAGAGAATGCGGAATGCCTTTGCAGTTACTTCTACGTCTGCTTTTAGTGCCTCTCCTGGAATGTTGTCTGGTCCTGCTGCTTTGCCACTCTTGATTTGTCTGATGGCCATGCTGATTTCTTCAATTGTTGGTGGGCCAACATTGATTGGGAGGTCCGTGGGTGCTGTTTCGATGTTGGGTGGGTTCAATGGAGCTGGTCGATTCAAGAGTTCTTTGAAGTGTTCTACCCACCTGTTTTGTTGCTCTTCAATGTTGTTGATTACCTCGCCTTCCTTGCTTTTCACTGGTCATTCTGGTTTGCGGCGATTTCCAGAGAGTTTCTTTGTCGTGTCATACAATTGTCTTGTTTCCTTCTCTTGCAGCCTTTTCCGCCGTCGTTGCTAAATCTTCCACATATTCACGTTTGTCAGTTCTGATGTTCCTCTTCACTTGCTTGTTTACTTCTGTGTATTTAGCTTGTTCCTTGGCTTTTTCTGCTCTTGTTCGGCTGGTATTGATTGCTGCCTTCTTGTCCCTCCTTTCTTTAATCTTATGCAGTGCATCAACAGTGATCCATTCCTTGTGATGGTGCTTCTTGTGGCCCAGAACCTCATGACATGTTGAAGTGATTGCTTTTTTGATCCCCTTCAAGTTGCTCTCCATAGTAGTTCCTTCTCCACTGAGTGGATCATGAAAGGCCTGGAACTTATTGCTGAGGACTATCTTGAATTCGTTGAGTTTGTCAGTATCCCGAAGAAATAAAGGTATATGCGTTTACAGAAATATGTTTACGGCAATTATATGGAAAATTAATTACAGCTAGAAACACAGCATATTAAGATGATGAGCCCTTGAGATTAATTGTCATATTATAAGTGAATATCGAACGCCCATACCCCGAATATACTTACATTGTCACCAACGTCATATATGTTTCTGGTATCCGCATTATCCTCATCTAGTTCATCAAATTCATCCCCGAGCGGCTTGCATGAATATCCTGGTTGAGAGTCAGATGCTTTACGATATTTCCATTCAGCAATTTTATGCGCAATAGCTGGACAAAACCCAAAATATTAAAAGACATCTCGGTACCTTCTTGCTCATAAACAGCTTCCTGAGGTACAATTACACCATCATCTTCATCACAGTTACCATAATACGATACGTCAACTAGCTTCATTAACTCGCCTCTAGATTTCCTAGCTACTGGTTGAGCTAAAAAAACAGTAAGCATTATAACAAGTAACAAAGCTTACAAAAACGTTTTAGTCAATACTATAACCATTATGTCTACATAAGAACTTTAGCCTTTGCTTTTAATAACTAAACAGCATATTCCAAAATTCAACATCTTACAATATCTTTATGAGGGTATATGTAGATATCATCAAACACGTTGAAAAATTAACGATACTGGAACAAAACTTAGATCTAATGGTCTACCGAATATAAACTGGTCTTTAAATAGAAGATTAATCAAAGTTTAGTGGTAAGTCAATAAAGACGGTAGCGTTTTTGTGTGAGGTGAATAAAGGTTATCAGATGTTATCAACTAGCATTTTCGAACGTATTTGCTACCTTGATATTGTAATCAGGAGAAGATGGTTGAGACATGTGTTACGTATGCCCAACTATCACCTATGTCCACGGACGACGTTCTCTAGTGTAGAAGTATGCTGGAAGAAAGCTGAGGGTAGCCAAACCAAGACGTGACACCATTCTGCGAATTCAGTGCCGATCGAACTGAATCATGTTAACGCATGTGAACTATCTGGTTTGGGTCCACGTGATTATTGTAGCCAATGGTTAGAGACTTTGATTGACATGGATCAAAATCGTCTCCAATGGCGGAGGTAGATTTGCTCCTGATCTTCCTTTACAACGTTGGTTACGAAATCTCCCTACATCTTTTTCTATATCCATGAGTGGTTATATTTCTACTACTAAAGATTTTTTTGTTACTTTCAGTACTCGGATTTGTCTCGAAATAATTTTATCTCGGTATACACTAAGGTAAGTTGTGACGATGTAAATTTTAAGTTCTACGTTGCGTACGATGATGACCAGCATTTACTTTAAGTTGCGAAATGATAGACAATTTGACCACCACTTTCCTCCGTAATATGTTTGTTGGAGGATTCAATTAATAGATGAAACTCCAGAGTGGTCAGGTAAACACACCAACCCATAAAATAGTTAGTTCTACCTGCCCACGCAAATACTATTTGTGAAACATGAGTTAAGCGCCTGAAGACTTGAGATGCCGTTATTCCAAATGCTGCAGTATTGTAAACATATTAAGTTCGTGATTCTAGACAATTGATCAGTATATGCTGTGATACAAGTCTCAAATGGTCTTAACCTATTCGCATAATTTTCTATCACTTCTGGCCTTATTATAAAGATAATTTTAGTTTTTTTCTCTAATGGTTTATTATTGTTGTACTCAACTACGACTGTTATTGTTTAGTATGCCTAAAACCAGCTAATTAAGGATACTGAGTAAGCCCAGATTTATGGTTGGTCGTAATTCAATTACTTCATCTAGTAAACTACAGTCAATTCCCTCCGATTGATTAGAAGCCAGTAACCAAGGCAATGTAACACCAAACAGTATTTTTCAGTCATATACAAATACATCATGAAGCCCCCAACATTCATTATGCGATGACATACAAACCGTTTGTTGGTTTTAAAAATACCCAACCTTACCAGCAAGATTATCATAAGACTAGTATTCCACATGAAGACATAAAATTATATTACTACGTGGTCTAAAGTAATACTACCATATTATTTCCTAATAAGTATACGGTAGCAAGTCTAGCTGGGTAGTACTAACTTGAGATTGAAATTAGCCTTAAGTCACTGTAACAATCGAGGGCAGAGTAAATGCAGTCAAGTCTAATTAGCTATTTTAAAAGGACAGTGGTATTTTTTTATCACAAAGTTAATTTTATTGCTTTCATCGTTTATTACGGATTAAGACTACTGTTTTCGCTTTAATTGAATTTATATCAGTCAAAGTATTCAACAAGAGTATCGTTTTTTTTCCAATGCACGTATAGTGAAAGCCAGAGCGGCTTATGCCAATCTGGGCCATCTTTGGCGCCTTTGTGATGTTAGTCTGGCTGTAAGAGGTCGGATCTACAACGCGTCGGTGAAAGCAGTTTTGCTCTATGCTTATGAAATCTGGCCTCTCCGAGTTGAGGATGTTAGACGACTTTCCGTGTTTGATCATCGTTGTCTCCGAAGGATTGCTGACATCCAGTGGCAACACCATATAAGTAATGCAGAGGTTCGGCATCGTGTGTTCGGGCACAGAGACAATAATCCAATTGGTGTCACCATCTTGAAACACCGACTTCGGTGGCTTGGACATATTCTACGAATGTCGTCTCAGAGAATTCCACGTCGTGCATTATTTGCCGACTCTGGGACTGGTTGGAATAAGCGGAGAGGTGGTCAGTGTATGACATGGTGTCGTGGCATGAAAGAAAGCTGCAAAGGACTGGCTTGTATCGATCCTTCACGACTCCGAGGTTGGGGTCCGAGAGATGGTGCAACACAGTGGCTAGAGACGTTATCAGATATGGCTCAAAATAGAAGCCAGTGGCGATCCTGCTGTAACCTTCTTTTACTTTCTTCATAAAAGTGGTTGTTTCTTCCTTAACTGAAAGATTTCTTCTGATTGTACCTTTCCGTTTCCCTCAGTAATATTATTACGACACTATCTTACACTAATCTGTCACTATTGTTCTTTTTTCCTTATGCGCACCTTCCTTTTTCTCTTCCCATTCTCCTTGTTTTGTGTGGCGCACACATATTTGGTGCCCCCTTGTACCAATATTTGTGTTCAAATAAATAAATCAATGGCTAAACTGATTTCCAGAATTGCAAAGCCCTCGAATTGTAATAGACTGACTAAACTAAATTTATTTACCTTGTCATGTCGAGGAACCAGAGGTGACTCGATCAGTTTTTATATTACTTAATGATAAATTTGAATCTGATATTTTTACTTCTGTTGTCCTACAAAACGGAGAGTTTACCAACACACCCTAAAAGGTCCACAAGCCCAGAACAAATTACTTGTCAGATGACTATCGACTTTCCCATAGAATCATCAACGAATGGAATTTTTTACCTCAATCCGTGATTGACATTCTATCTGTCAACGCTTTCGAAAGAAATGTAGATCAAGTAAGAGGTCACTATTGCCATGATTAACACAGGTCACCTAGCCTTGTGTTTTTCCTAACTGAAACGGAAGCTTAGATCGAATCATAGGAACGAAAGATAATAGCCTAAACATACACAGTTCTGTCAAATTGTTTTGTAACGCAAAATCTCATGTAACTATTGGCTGGTTTCTGCTACCTTGGTTGGTACAATTGTGAGGATGTAATTAAAGAAAGCTGAACGATGGTAATATATGGCTTCTCAAAAACAACAAAAGAATCAAATATCGACTTACGATCTTCTTCAAATAATTCGCGCACTCCCGGAAGATCACGAGCTGCTCCATAATATCTGTAGCCTCTATTCCCAGGAACTTCTTTCCCCTCTTTTTCAAGCATTTTCGGTGCTTCTGCCTGCACTCTAGTGTAAAAAATACCACTATACTTTAAAGTCAGGACCCCCAAGGTTTTTTATGTGGTCTTCCCAGTGGGATTTTTCTCGAATAAGCTTGTTTATGTCATCGTTCAAATCCCTTAGTTTATATTCACCTAAGCTAGCTGGAAGTAAAAATGTTGGATGGAAGAAATGAGTTATACGATTCTGTATTTGAGCTATTTTTCGAGATATTTCATGAACGATTTGGCGTCTGTAATACAGAGAATCTTTCAACCCGGTGCACTCAGAAGCGATATATGGCCTTTTCTTCGTCTCTTGAACACGATCCACATAAACTGCTCTCCATCGAGCGAGTGCAGTCCTGAAAAGTACTTCGAATATAGGTCATGAAAACCTACATAGCCTTTTCTGCACTACGAGCCTATATTGAGTCAATTAAAAGAGACTGGAACTTACCATTTCAAACAGGGATACCCAATGTACAGCTATTCCCAGTTGTTGGATGAAAAACGCGCCAGATTTCTAATTGATACTGATGTGAATATCGTGAAGGGTCACAATTTACACAAAGATCGTTCAAAAATATATATTTCAAATTTTTTAAATGTTCATCGACAGTGTAGAACCTTTCACTTAACAGACTTCTGCATATGGTAGCAGTGAACTATTAATGCCTCTAAGTAGGGACCTAGGTGTATTTAACGATACAAAGAAAAAAATCAGGAAATCATAGCGAGCTACTGTTCTTAGTCATTAAACTATGTCAAGTTTCCTCTTAAAGGACTCCTGGGAAGTTACTTCGACTTGCTCATCTGGCAGCGTTTCCCAGAGTTTGACTATTCGTAAAGAAAAAGAGATTTCAGCGAAGTAAATTTTATTTTCGACGAAATCATTTACTTAGGCTGTACACTCGTATTTATAGTCACTTGGAAAGTATATGTCCATAGAAAGATAGAAAAGGTTGCATCATAAACTGATTCAAGACTCTTATTACCAAATGAGATTACGCACTAATCAAGGGGTAAGTAAAAAATAGAAGGATGAAAATAATTTACTGGTTACGTAATTGCCTAGTTGATCGATATGAAGAAAAACGAACCGTAATGAGTGGAAGATCATCCTACTATGTTATGTCTTCAGTTTCCGGATATTGCCTCCACGTTTTGTGTTGTGACTTAGCTCAAGTAGGTTTTCAAGGGGATGCCGAGGAGTGTTTACGATGCTATAAGTCATTAAGTCACCTCAGCTGTCTATGCTCTAATTAGTAGAAATTAAGTGGTTTGAGGTATATGATGTCAACTTTCCCTTTGCGACCAAGGATGGGTGTCTATCTATCCACCACGATCAGCAGGTTGATTATACGAGAAAGACCCTTCCTGAAAACGTGCTGTTGGGGTAAAAAGGCTTTTATGGATATTGTGTTTCCACAAAGACCGTCGCACACCAAGGACTCCATAATTCTTGAAGTTAGTGAGAGACGTGCTACCAGCTGGTAGCTCGAGTGTTCGCTTGGTCGACCCCCCTTGAAAATTAGTGTAAGCCAACATACAGGTTTCTGGTTCTATGCATCGGCTTGGCTAATGTGATAGCATAACGACAAGTGGTTTGCAAAACTGAAGTCGCTTTCCTCAGTGTAGCAGAATGAGCCATCCCCAGGCCAGAGCTGTCCTTGTTTAAATGCTGTAGTTACTGATACACCAAGTCAAACTCAGGTTCACTTCTGAAAGTCCTGTTGAGCTTCAGGTGGAGCTCCCGTCGATGTGGTAATTGTGGGAGGGTTAAAATTTCCTAAAGCACTGTCTTGCCAGAAGGCCGACGGTTGGGCCATTAGGACCTAACAACCAAGAAACTCTGGTTTTCGCTTGTCGGAAGAGGCTGTATGACGGGATAGGCTTTTCGAATTAGACATAAATTTATCGATCAGATTTATCTGATACTGAAGCATTTCTTCTCTTACCACCTTTGTGAACTGGTCCTTTGCTTATTTGGATTGCTTAAATTTGCCGTTGCCACTAGTTCGTTTCTGTTCCACTCAGTAGTTTCTTTTTTGTCTTGCTATTCGAAGAGTGGAATTCTTGATAACTATACCTCGCTTGTATTTTTGTGAACCGTTTGTAGGACAGACTTTTGTAGCACGTAATACCGTGTACAGTTAGAAATCTCATTGTGCTTCTATATCAATATTAGGGTGGACTTCTCATTCCACCAGCTATAAACTGACAGTAAAACTGACAAATACCACCGTTTGTAATCCCAACGCCTGCTGTTGGCAGGATGTACTAGCTCATTTTCGCTGATAACACTGAAGTTCATAAAATTGTATAGGTTAATTTCCTCTATATCTGACTCCAGTAAATAGTATCCGATTTACTGATCATTTACATAGGCTAAATTTCCTGGTAGAATTATTGATGTGCTCGAAATTATTCACAAACCCGAACACCAGTTATAGAAATTGTTTGTTGTTAAAGAATGGTTAAATCCGCAAGTGTGCAGGAGGCAAGCACATAGGGAAACTAGTGTGTGTATGCGAGTGTTAAAAATCAATATATATTCATGAGTGTTTCCAACCGATGGGAGAATAGACTAAAGATTGATGTGCAGACATGCGCTCAATCAGACACACAGAAATTTACATAGTGGACTAAATGTTTAAATTACAGTAAGTAGACAAATAATGCAATATTTGAATGGGCTTACTATAACGTCACGATCACTTCTACCCAGGGGAGCCAGGATTGTGGGGTTGTCATTTAAGAATTCTTCGTTTGTAACTACGCAGCCTAAGCGTGACAGTGTTTGACTATTTCACCGCCGACTTGATAACTCCAGATTTTCCAGTAATCCTAGATTTTCAGTGGTGCTGAAGAACCGAGCTTCAGTAGAGTTGTCCCTTCCAATATATGTGTGCTCGGTGAAGTTGACTTTAGGAGGATTGTAGTCTTTTAAAATAAGGATATAAGTGTATACGAGACGAATAGAGCGTGATAATCCCTCCGGTATACGATCATCGTACTTGGTGTCGGCAGTGGGCATCTTGTAGATGGCTCTAAACATACATCTCGGGGTGTTAAGCAATCCTACTGAGCACCATGCAGATTATTGAAGATTGATAAACTCTTGAGTGGAAACGTGATGTGCTACAAAACAAGACAGTAGATACAAGGCTGCTGCGCCCCCATTAAACACTGGATGAGAAAAACAGATCGCGGTTTTTTGAACGTTCTTGCTGCGGTCTTGGAGGCGATTAGTTCAGGGAAGAGAGAAAACGACAAGACATGTTAACATCCAAAATATTATTTAAGGTACGGACTGCCAACACAAGGTCACCTGGCGTTCTACAATAAAACAAGGCCAGAGGGCTTACACTTTTGACGAGCTCGTCATAAGGAAGTTTGGAAATACTTGTCCTTAACTTTGTTACCGCACGATGAACACACCCGAATGTGTTAGCATCCTCAGTGAAACATGGATCAATTGCTTGGATGGAGTGCTTTAGTTGTGATCTTACATAGGTCAGGTACAAAATCCGGAACATCTTGACAAAGCATTTGAATGCTCGAGGCAACGACCATAACACTCGAAAACCTTTGAGGGCTGCTGCATTGCAATGTACATTTGTTTTGCAGTCAAATTACTGCTACTTTTTGTTCTAGTTCGTTTGGAAGAGATGTTCTGTCGATAGTATACAGATAACTATTTCCGTGTCTGATATGCATTAACATACTCTTCCCGTAAATAATTTCCAAGTACCAACTATGGAACCATGTATCTAATTCGTATGGGTCGGCTTGCAGATAAAGACAACCGGCTTCACCACTTATTGCTCTCCATATTTTGAAATCATCGGCGAACAATAGTGTCGTTGAATTAGCAGTTTCGGTCATCTATGGAGGTAGAGGAGAAATATAGAGTCTATAATCTTGAATTGGAGTAGACCACTTTCGTCTGGCTTCCATTCGGATAGTTTCCCAGTTATCTTTACACTTTCTCTACACAAATTTTCTTGTACAGTCTTGTACGGCACCTGTTATTCCATACTTGGAGAGCTTCTGGGTAGGCCCTAAGTGATGTTATCAAATGCTATGCTAAACTCTGCAAATATCACATCAGTCGACAAACCATCATCTTAAGCTACTGCACTCTCATAATTAGTGAATTAGCTAAGCGTGAATGCTAATTCTGAAACATATGTAACTGTGGAATTAAAAGACTGTGGAGTTCTACGTCGCTTAGCAACTTGGCTCGAACTGTTCCTTGAAGTAACTTAACTACTCTGCTACTTGGACTGACAGGTCGGTATCCGAATACGATATATCTCTTTCATACTCAAATATATGGCTAACTTCATCGCCTTTACAATGCCTAAGGAGTTGAGTTAGGGATAGAAGCATGTTAAACAGCATCGTCAGTGGTCCTGTAATAGTGTTCGCTCGAGAATACAGAAATAATGAATGTGGTTCATCAGAACCCGGTAACTTAGTGGGCTTGAGGTTAATGAGAAACTGTGGAATAGCTTTTTCAGTCACATGTACTGATTCTATAGCTGGTAGTTAGTGGTGTGGTTGCGGGAAGTGTTGTCAACAATACCCATAGGGTAGACTTCAGTGAAATAGTGTGACAAAGTCTCAGGTTTGTTCAGATCCGATTCATGTAGTATGGCTGAATTTTCGTGCAACGATAATGGAGGAATTTTATTACTGTGCCTTATCCTTCAGTTTACATATGAAACCTATTGTCCTGGGGAAGTATGGTTGACGTATGCCTAATTTTTTCGTAAGTGAAGCGGGATATTGCTATGGTATTTTTACATATATATTTCAGATTTTTCAGTATCCACGTCTAAATGGTTTATGATCCGTTGACAAAGATGAGTTCCAGAATTGTCTGCCACGCTTAGGTAGCTTTAATATTTCCCTACCAGTCTATGGGGGTCAGTGTGACAGCTCACGCGTTAGCCATGAAATGAACGATAATACTACGGACTCTGATGTGGCTTTAAGCTTATTCATCCTCCTTGAATGGTGAATCTGTCGAAATAACAAAGTCCCTAATACCAAAGTGTTACCCGCCAAACATTGAGACGGCGTGGGACAGATGCATACCGTATATTGTATCGGGAAAATGAAGTACAGTTAAACGTGATCGCCGTTCGCTAGTGGGCAAAATACGTAATATCGGTGAAATTATCACAGTGGTGTGCAAATACAATGTCCAAGAATGATAGTTCATGTTCTAAGTTATTATCTATCGGTCTTGTGGTACGTAGTGCAAGTGTCCATTGAACAGTCTTTGTCAGTTGGCTACCATCAAAGCATCCACCTAAAGTTGTAAGCTCTTCCCACTTGATACATGGCGTATTGAAATCGTTAGTGATGAGGCGACAATCATCTTTACTCCGTGTACACATGTGACTTAGGACAAAGTCGACAGCAAGAAAACATGGACTACGGAATATTCCTCCAATGGTCACTAACCCATATATAAATTTATTTGTACAACAAGCCACTTCACGTGTACCACCATCTTGCACCTCTGGTGATCTCTAACATCTCTAACACCTTAGTGGAGTTATGTGAAGATGTCAATTAAAAACCGTACTTCATGAGAATCGTTTTGAATTATCGGACCAACAGAATGGTTTCAGGAAGGTTCATTCTTATATAACCAACCTGCTGACCGTGGTGAACAGATGAACAACCTTCCTTGTTTGTAAGGGGAAGGTTGACGTCATTTACCTTGATTTCTCAAAAGCTTTTGATGGGGTCGACTATATATGTCTTATCATTAAACCCAAAAATTGGGTATCAGATCACCTATAAGTGACTGGCTCATTTCATATCTAAAAGATCGACGTTTTAAGGTCAGGGTTAACTCCACTTTTTCACAGGCTATGGAATATCCCAATGGAATCCCCCATGGTTCAGTACTAGAAATTCTCTTGATTTATATAAACAATCTTCCACAACAGGTATCGCCAGACATTACTTTTACTGACGATGTGGAACTTTGAAGAGAGGTACGCAGAACTTGGAGACAAAACACAGCAGAACGGACTCTAGACACAACTTCTATTCCTTAAGAGTTGTCAAATTCTGGAATTCGCTGCCGACTGATCTAGTACAAGCGACTTCACAGTAGTCTTTAAGAGGAAACTTGACCTATTCTTATGGACTAAGAGAAATATCATAATATGAATTGCCAACTGTAGCGAAATCATCCGTTCTACTCTTCGCTGATGACATAAAGATTTGGAGACCCATACATAGTATGTCGGATAGAATAGTATTACAGGACGATCTTAGCTCATTGGTGGCATGGTTAGACAGGTGGTCACTAGAAGTAAATCCTAATAAGAGTGTAGTGATGCAGTTAAATAACTCTGATGAATCGTATGACTATACACTACGTGGATTCGTGCTACCCAAAGCAAGAAACTATAAAGACTTAGGAGTTATATTAAGCAATGATCTCAAAACCACTAGTCACTGTAAGGCTGCTGCTGCAAAAGGCTACAGGGTATTATGGTCAATTCGTAGGTCTTTTCAGTATTTAGATGATGAAATGTTTGGATTACTATACCCGATTTATGTGCGACCACATTTAGAATACGGGATTCAAGCAGCGAGTCCTTGTTTCAAATATGAAGCAGATATGCTAGAAAGAGTCCAACGACGAGCTACTAAGATGGTACAAGGTCTAGCTGGCCTATCTTATGAAGACAGACTGAGACACCTTAACTTATTTCCGTTATCTTACCGTAGAGTACGGGGTGATCTGATATTGGCTTATCGTGTACTGAACGATGACCTTGGTATTAACATGTCTTATCTTTTGCTTCCGTCTAGAAACGATCATTTGAGAGGACATTCGAAGAAAGTTCAAAAACCGAGATCAAACCGTTTACGTCTGGAGTTCCGTTTCTCGCACCGAGTAATGAATTACTGGAATTCTCTACCGGAACACGTAATATCAGCACCGTCTGTTAATATATTCAAAACGAGATTGGACCTCCACAGTATTACAAACTGCAAGGATTAATATAGGTCGACAGACCTCCTATCCTTATTACTGAAGACTGAAGACTGATTTATTATCGTTTATATACCGAGATTCCTGCCCGGAGGTATTTGCGATCCACTGTCACTTGGCACGGATGTCCGTTAAGCGTAAGCTTCTTCTATTCCAGCTAAAATTAAACGGGACTCGATTTCGTAAACGTTCACATGGAAACATCGCGTATAAATCCACCTTTAATTCCGTCTACAATCATTTAAACCATTTGGACTATTATGTCCAATAGTATTGAACAGGGTTTGAAATTTGTGCTATCAACGGAGGGTACATTAGACATTTCAGAAATATCGCTTGACTTGGGTTGTTGAGATCAGTCTGTAAGTTGATTAAAATTCCAAATTTATAGATGGTTAGAATGGCTGAATGGTTAATGAAGGCTTGCAACATGAAACTAGAGATAGCCACAAACGTACACTTATAGGCACGAACAGGAAACTGATTGAGTATACATGTTGAACATAATTCAGATTGTTGTAACTAAGTTCAGTTAGCTACTTTATCGTCCAGTCTTCGTACCTTGAATTTTCTACAAAATAAATTATGTCATTCACTCATTTTTCTCGAAATGTGAAAATATTCCAATTTCCCAATATTAGGTAAACCGCCATAGGGAACCTTAAGGAAGTTTTGGGGAAATGACATGAAAACCCCAAAATTTCTCCTGACTTTGAAGTTTTCCCCCAAAAATTTTTAACGCAAGACTTCTCCAAAAATTTCTAGACATCACGGAAAACCTAGCGAGAATACATACGTACATTTCTTACTGGGATGTTACATTATTTTTCGTCAACTACGCATTACCTAAGAAACTTAGCGTTAATCGATTTATCGCTGTTAATAAAAGACTGATTTGTGATACATAGAAGTGTTTATTACAGTTAATGAAATTACAAATAAATCATTCATACAATGTTTTTCATTGCTTCGTAAGAGGAACAGGTTACGCTGACGTTGAACTATCATTCACAATGTTCTAGAAGAAAAACTTTTTTGTGTATAATGAAATGTCAAGATATGTGAAACGTTGATAAGGAACAAAGTTTCTTAGGCAATGCGTAGTTGACGAAAAATAATGTAACATCCCAGTAAGAAATGTACGTATGTATTCTCGCTAGGTTTTCCGTGATGTCTAGAAATTTTTGGAAAAGTTATGCGTTAAAAAGTTTTTGGGGAAAACTCCAAAGTCAGGGGAAATTTTGCGTTTTTCCACAAAATTTTACACAATTGTGGTTTCATTAATAAATATATGCCCACTTCCCCAAATTGTTGTAAGATTCTGGGGAAATCCTCAAAGTTTGGGGGAAATTTCGGGGTTTTCGTGCCATTTACCCAAAATTTATTATAGCGGCTTCCCGAAAATCGGGAGCTCGGGATCTTAATAAACTCTAAGTGGAAATGGGCATCAAAGTAGTCAAAATCAAATCCGCGAGTGGCATTTTATTTGTATACGACTATGTGCACATTGCTGTAAGCGATTTACTATACGTTTTTTCTTCCGGTTGCATAGTTTTTCTATAGTACATTGTGTAAATAGTGTATGATATGTACGGTAACGCTCCTCTTATTTCCTTGGCTAACTTCCGTCAAATGTATGGATCTGATAGATGTTATCCTATGTTTTCCCTCAAACTTAGCTTATCAGAGGGAAAGTGGATTTATTGGGTTTTAAGCATTTATTTTACATTCACAAAAGGTGTACATGCTAAAGGGCTTTGGAGAAAGTTAGGTTACTTAGGAAAATTTCTGCCCAAAAATAGTTACGTTAGCAGGAAAGAATTCCTTTTGGACATTGGGAGGAAACTACTTGAAGGTCCAGTTTCTTCTTAATCACCCCAAAGTTTTACTGTAAGCATTCTCTATATTTGTCTCCGTTTCGATGTCCTCCAAAACTCAGAAATTTCTAGTTTGTGTTTCGTGAGTGTTAGAAGTATATCATTGATGCTACTCAGTAGTGTACTACAAGTTTTTTTAAGTGGGTTTTATTTTTCTGTACAATATCGTCTGTCCTCGCCCTATATATCTTATGTGAAACGAAAAAATGTCATACAGTAACACTACTTTCTTCATAAAAAGTGGTTGTATCTTCCCTAACCGAAAGAATTCTTCTGGTTGTACCTTTCCGTTTCAGTTTCAGCTCCTCTCTTCGTACTTCGGCATTTTAGATCACTGTATTATTATTCCAAAAAGACAGCTGACTACAGGTGAATATGTTGTTCGGTAGTTCTGCAGGGCTGTACAAAGTAATTTCGTCTTTGTCAAATAGCACTGGGAGATACATGTTTTCAAGTGCCGGTCCAGTAGAATCGCGATTAAACCTGGTTTTATCTCAGAATTTCAATGTAAATTGTTCAACTTTCCCTCACTCTTCAGCCGAGCTTCTTGAGAATATATAACGAAAGTCACCGTCATAACCAGAAAATAGGCATATAAGTTCTCATAAAACCCAAACATTTTGTCAATGCTTGTAGGTGGGGAGACGCATTTCAGAGTTGTAATCGTGTCACATCATTTTAATAATCTTTCTCCTGTACAGGTAAGATTTATTCGATCAGTATGTATCAGTATAGAGAGAACGCTTAGTGTATAAATCAGTTGAACATGAACTGCAGTCTGGTGTGCATGCTTTATCAGTTATAGTAAGTTGTGCGTTTCCGTTACCTATTTCACATAAGGCTAGAGCAGTTGATGAACCTTTGGATATACATACGTCTCCACCCTGCCAGAAGTCTTTGTTATAATGTATTTGCCAAGGTAAGTAGGTCTTCATTCTAGATATATGCCAATCAGAACACATACTTATGCTGAAATTCCTCATTTAGAGCTGCAGAAATCCGTTTTTTAAATAATTGTTTATATGATTTTTGGGAGAAGCTATCGGCTAAATTTAAGGTATATAGCTAAATAAGTTACGTGTTTACTCCAGTAGACATTTACTTTTTAAATTTATCCTAATAGTTACGTTAGATATGTAGAGATGAGGTGTTCACAATAAAAATTTCGTAATCATCTTGCCTGTCTATTTTCTAGTTTTTATTTCCGTTTTTTAGTGTCTAATAAGAATGTCTATCTGTGCTGATTCTATGAAATATTGTCCAAGCCTACGGGAGAATCAACTAGTCAATGTATATGTTATCGTATCATTTTAAATACAAACAATTTATGTATTGTCAGCAATGTTATGTTATCGTTTATTACTGTTTTTGATTTGTATTGGGGAACAAGCATATATATGGTAACTTGTTTGACCCTTTCTTGTAATGCGTGAGACGTAGAGTAGTTGTCTGCAACATCAATCACATTTTTGTTGACATGTTTTTATTGACGCATGATAAGTGTTTCGTCGCACACTTTAATATTCCAGAATAACCACTAAGTGGCAGTTTGTAACGAATAGGTACTTGAGGAATTGTCGGTGGAGGAAGGATAGTTATTCAGTTACCCATTAGTTATCGATATTTCAGGCTTCACAGATAAATGACCCCTAGAAGACTTGTTTGAGTAATCTTCCTCTAGTAGTTCAATTTGTGGAAAATTTATCTATTTAAACACGTAAACATTGGTACAAGGAGGCAACTAATAGATATGCGCTACATAAATCATTCGATTTATATGAGGGCTGGGATACTGCCCGGGTGCTTAAACCAAAGCAAGCTGTTTTCTTAGGGGGCCACACCCTGAGCCTTTGACCTGGAGGTCCAGTCCAGTGGATCAACGTAAGGAGATGCAGTCCCTTGGTAGCCGGTGACCAATAATTGGTTCATACGCCGTTTGTTCGCTCACGATCATAGAGCCCATGTGCACCATTAGTTTGGAATGAAGGTTTTCCAACTCCCCTAGGTGGGTCTGTATCAATCGACCCAGTTAAGAGGATAGACATCCGCTTTTCGTCCTCTCAATTCCGAAAACAACACCCTGGTGAGAGAAGGCAGTGAGTAGGACTTCCCTGGCAGTAGCTGTGTGCACGTGGCCATGTGAGAGCATTTCGAGAGGGAGAGATGACTGTCCTCATTCTCGACCATACCAGGGCATTCGGGGTCTTTGTGGAAATGGTAACATAAATTGTGAGCGAACCACACATCAGTGCTGTCGAGACTATCCTATTATTATTATTATTTGTTTTATGTGTAGTTTATTTGAAAATGAATGGAAATCTTATTGACTTTAAAGTTAAAACCCAGTTCATTCACTACTGATGCCATAGACGTTGTTGTTGGTTTATTCAGATAAAATAAGTCTCGAATTGTTGTACGTCTGAAGTGTCCTTTCCAACGCTATTTACGTGTGATACTAAAAACTATCAAATGAGGAATTTAATGTTCAAGTTTGAGGAACGTAAATCTGACTTTAGATAAGCCTTCGGCCAAATTTCCCAGTATAAACTTTATAATTTGTGAAAATTACTTCTTGTAGTGAACACTTGTCTTGGCCTATAAATTTTAGGGTAAAAGTATGCTTAGATCACCATAGCTTTTATTTTGTTTAGCTTTGAGTGAAATGTTCATTGCTACTCCGACTACGCATTTAGTTAGTTCACGAGGTTGGGGTGATATCTCAAAGAGACATTCTTCCTAGAACCTTATGACAGTGTATTAGTCAAATAAGGATTTTGTTACTGCTTATCTATGTTCATTATTTGATGAGATCTTCACTTTTCTCCATGCTAGTAATTCAGTAAAGTACACAAACGGTCTCGGAAGTCGAGTTGATTGTTTTTGAAGTTTCTACTTTTAGTTGCAGGTGCTACTCTTGTTGCAAACATTTATTTATTTTACAAGTATGCTTTGATAATTGTGTACATATATGAACCATTAATAATGATGCACTAGTAATTATGTCGTATCATCGCCAATATTGTCGAAGACTTTGAAAAAGATTCCTGCATATTTCTTAGTTCTTCTGCTTCATCTGTAGGTATAAACGAAATAGGCAAAATAACTATGGTTTCATGGACCAGCGAAGTTTAAGTAAATTAAGTGATTAGTAAAGTTATATATCTTATTTTTATCTTTATGATAAGGGTTTTTCATTTTGAATAAAAGTTTGGTGAGACATGATTACTGAGGCATAAAATCTAACTAATTATTCAACGTAATTTCAAAATCTTCGGGCTTGTTACGACGACAAAACCGATTGGTGTTCGCCACCTTTTTAATTGAACAAATACATAAATCTCAACACCTAAGTGTTTCTCCAATATCAGCTGTTCGTGTTTCGGAACAACAGTTTCATTACGTTGTACTTTGTAGTCTCTTGTCATGTTGCTGTATAAAGTCGGTTATTTGCTGCAAAATAAGTGTTAATTAAAAGGCAATACATCACTGCAGCTTATATTGTAGATATTGATTAAGATATTAGGATGTTCTTGCAAAACATGCCGTTTTGGGATTACTACAAATATGTGCCTGCTCATTGTAATCCACCTAAATAATATTGAACCACGCCTTTATTTTAAAACCCATTGTATGTGAATGCAAAACTCAGTTAAACATATTCGTGTATTTTATTGGTGATAAGGTATTAGGAGCACGGTTTTAACTGTTTAAAGATTTTTTATTGATTAATACTTCGATTATCTGATCTGTCACATTCATCAGCACATTACATAAGTCATTACCGTACATGCACAAACTTAGTTTGATCTTAATTGCCGTCTGTATATTAGGACGGCCCGACTAAGCTATGTTGACTGGAAAACTTGTTCCTTGAGTTTCTGGCATACCCAACAGGTTCGATCAAAATCAAGTTCCGGACTCAAGGACGAGGTTGTATTCCTTACTGCATCAGTGTGGGAGCAGCAATATACTTCCTACGGGTAATCAAAACTCGATGGTGATGTTTTGTGCAGGCCGGAGGAGGGGTTTGAAATTGATCCGTCTTAAAAACACCTGTCCCATGGCGTTTCAATGCAAGCTATGAGACTTATAAAGAATGAAGCTATAATATAATATTAACCCATGTAGGTGGTTTAAAGTCAGTCAGTCAGTTACAACGTAGGACCAGGCACATATATGCATCGGTCCAAGTTACCATACCTCATTAGCACAACAAGATGGACACTAAATTCATATTAGTTACTTCAATGGTAGTAATATATAAAGGGAAGATTGCGTATAACGATATAATATAGGAAGAAAGAATTACTTCATAGAAAGGAAGGTATAAAGTATATTTATACATCTACGCGATTGTGGTCGATTATGAGTCATGTCACCTAGAGTCTCCAACCATTGGTTATGATTGCCACGCGGACCCCAACCAAGTAGTCTGCATCTACATGGGTTAAGTGAAGTAGGAGTTTCATAATTCCAGCACAGCATAAAATCGATACGATGGAAAGTATGCACATCACAAGATAGTCTATTTGGTCTTGAGTCAACTATACAAACCACAGTGAAGTTTTGGGAGAAACTAAACCAAAAGACTAGGGAAATGAAGTGTTTCGTGGGATTCTAAGGAATTAAATGTTTGAAAACTCTTAGCAGCCTCAATACACGAGAAGTAAGGGCGACTTACATCAAATTGGTCGTGTTCACTAATCGTCTTAGTTTGTAAAAGAGAAGATAAGTCATACGATTAGTGTGTCCAATGTAGTTTTGAAAATGTGGGTCTTTCCAACAATTCGACGTCTACTTATTTATTTTTTTGGACATACAAATATTGGTACAAATAAGCACGAAAATAAGTGTACGCCACACAAATAGAAAATGTGAAGCGACAGATAAAAGTAAGTGAATATAAAATAACAAACAATTAGTGAGTAAAAATAGGTGAACAAGAGTAGTATATAACGTGAGGAACATTTCATTTAGAAGAATTATATCAAAGAATTCACTCAATTAAAAATCTTTCTTTTTTATGGAGAAAGTAAAAGAAAATTATAGCAGGACTGCAAATAGCTAATATTGTGGGCTGTTTCACGACGTTTCAAACCACTGTTACATTATCTCTAGGACCCTTACCAGAGTCGTGAAGGATCGACATACTAGTGATTTACAGTTTTCTTCCATACCACAGCACTGTGTCAAGAACTGAGCATGACTTTCTCCAACCAGTGTCGACAAATAATGGAGGATGTAGACTTCTTCGGGATAGCGTTCATAATACATGTCTAAGCCACTAAACCTGGTGTTTCGAGATGATGGTATCATCACTGTATCCGAACGCGCGTTTCCGAACCTATGCATTACTAACGGGGTGTTACTCCTGAATGTTAGTGATTCTTCAGAGCTAGCGACTATCAAACACAAAGAATCGTCTAGCATCCTGAATTCGAAGAGATCAGGTATTTCGACCATGGAGCAAAGCTACTCTCGCTGAAGTATTACATCCATATCTTAAAATAAATAAACCATCCTTAAGAAGAGCTGAGGGTAATTCATTTGGACCTGTCTACTTGTGGATCTTCAGAAGCTGGAGTTCCGTACGGATCTCTTTAGATGGATCAGTCTTCATTGGACCGGGGAAAGAAGACAGAGTGATCTTTTTGGGTTAGTAAACCGGTTGAACAGTCCCTCGAGGACTTATGTTCGTACTCCAAGACGTCATTGGGTGTTACTGACTGGCGGCCTATCAGCTTCATAGATTGTCTCACATCAGGCTTCTTGGTGTCAGTGGTTCGGATGAGTTCTAATAGCTTCCGGTAATTACCAGATGAAGATGCTACTCCTAACTTATTAGATTGCTTTGACTACCAGATTTCTCGATCTTTGCGCGAACTGTACAGTTTCACTAAATAGGAATCTACGTCTCGTCGAACTCGCGATTATCTAGTGTTGACCGATATGGTTCAAAGAAATGTAAGGACGCTGTAGAAACCCATCGCTTATAAGTGGGATGTTACACAAAGCCGGAAGCGACTTTAGCTATTTTCATGGTGTCATTCAAATGAACTCAGTGGTCATTTACACTTTTTGGTGGGTTGTTAGCTGCTAGCCTTGAATTGTGCTTGGTTTGATATTTAGTTTCATCGGAATATGGAGCCAATTTGTTGATATCGATCCTTTTAAAATGGTGAGTTTGTTGGCCACTGAAACGTTGGATAAGACTGGCATGAACTGGTGGATAATTAGTCCAGATAAGTGCTCTAAAAGGAGCGAAAATTTTGCAAACAATCACACCAGGGTAGATGGTCCCAAAGTAGTCAATCTGAGTCGAAGTCTGATTTTTCGAAGGATGCCACCAGATAGCACAGTGGTGATAGCTATTCCGAAATTTCGTCTTTGTCGAAAATGGGCTGTGCTCTGAACAAAGCTTTAGGAGTTGGACATCGTTATCTGATATATGATCTACAATTCCACATCAGCCACTTCGATTACTCTCCTCTGTTACCAGACACTCGATTTTGATATCCAGATATGCAGCTACCACTGCGCCACCTATAAAACGCCCTATCTTGAGGACATCATTTAGCCATTGATAGAACGCATACTTGATTGCACTCTAGTTGCAGTGTGTTAGGGTGTAAACGGCGATTACGAAAAGGCATTGTTTTGCACGTCAGTTTTTATTTACTTTGATGGAGCTTTATGATCTGACAGGACATGTAAACGACGGTCACTGGGGGCTTAATTGCTTAGTATTGCTCCTACCCTAGGGGTCAATGAGGCACTAATGCCAACAAACCCGACGATGCAAGGGTTTCATGGGTAAATCCACGTGATACAGACGTTTCGATTGGTGGGGAGTGAATGTGCAATACTGTGTTAGCGTCTTGAATACGGGGCTCTGATAGATAACATACATCAACCTTAAGACTTTCCAAGGACAGACGAACACAGCTCTTGTTCTATTCCAAGTTGGAAAAAAAGAAACAGATAAGTAGAATTTGGTAAAATAGAAACACTTTAAATAAGTGAGTTGTAATAATATACCATGTCAGTAGTCAAACAGAGCAAGTGGATCAGCTTCATAACAATTCGTTGTTATATTTGTGAGAAGGTTAAGATACTACTTGAATATCCAGACAGAACCAGGTCACTTTCATAGGCAGCGAACCTGCAAGCGTTCGACCTCGAGGTTCAATCCACAAGACAGTGAAGAAGTATAAGGAAATACAACCTCAAAATAACCAGTTACCAAGAGTGCGCTAATAAGCTGTTCAACCCCTCAAAATCCTGTAGCTTCAACTAAATTTAAGGAACATAAAGCCTATGAAAATCAGGTTGATTTTAGGCCCGACACTGTATGCTCAAATCAAATTTCCTTTAGAAAGTAAACTGTGGTGTTTGAATTAACTAGTGATTCTTTTGTACTTGTTGAATGCTCGATTTCGAATTCTAAATACAGTACATTCGTTGTGCCTGTGTCTTCTTAATTCAATTGCGTTAATCCTGGAATTCCTAGTTCATACGATAATTCTACTACCATATAAACCCACTCTCATATTAGTTTGCATTTATAAATGAGCTTATGCTTCAACTTACGACTTTGGTTCCACTTAAGAGAGCTATCGTCATCGGGCCATCCAGTAATAATTAAATAGTCGATTTCTTTTAGTCCTCGAGGTACTTCAATATAGGAAGTTGAACTAATAAATGGTACTCCTCCAAATTTTGAAACTGATTCTTCAAATTTTGGTAAATATTGGTTCTTAAAGTTGTCTTCATTAATTGAGCTAAATAAACCCAATTGCAAGTAATTCCATGCTGCAAAAATATGTGAAATAAGTAATTTTGGTTTTTGTATTAATTTAAATGTATATGCATATATGTATGTAATGTCAGTCTGGTATCTTTTAAGGTATCTACAGAAAGTCAAGAATATTGAAGGATTTTCATTATCTTGCTTTTGTATTTTAGTGAAATCTGTCTAACCTACCCAAAATGTATGTCAACAACTCATTACATCTTGACACTATAAATGCTTTAAATTATGCTGTTTTTCGGTTTATGTATTTGAAATATATAATATTTGCTTTCTGAAATAGATGTATTTTCTAATTTGATTATTTGTTTTGGACATTCATTTCAAGACTTTGATGACATATTGTAACTAATTTATATCTTCACTTTTAACTGTCACTTAAACAGCCTTGCATATTTTCTGGTATTGAAAATTGTTCGGAAAATAACCCATCTCTACTTTGTATCACTCTGAAGAACGATACAACTTTAAATCCAACTTGTACTTGGTTAAACCATACCGTCTATTCCCTATTTTAATTGATCTACTCTTAATAAAGACTGGTTTTTTAGTGTCTAAACACGAAAGAAATTTGTAGGTTAATTAAATCAGCTTAGAATACTCACGTCTTATTTCCGTACATAAAGGTACAATCCATATTTCCGCATCATCCAACCAGTCGTGCTGACGGAATATTGGATCGCTGATAAGCCACCTCTGAGCCGCCACAGCGGAATCAAAATGTAGAAAGCCAATCGTTGTATTGCGTTTCCAGTCACCGTCTAAACAAACAACCTAAAAGTAGTGTTTATTTGAAGGTAATTGACAGTTTTGAGTAATGGTACTTCTGTTTACCTAAATCATTGTTTTTTTACAATATTTAGTCTTTTTGTAAAACTATATCAGCCAAATTTAGTAGAAGTAGTTAAAACTCAGTTGCATATGAAGATTTAAAGTCAAAGGTTGCATACACTAAATAGTATATGTAACAAGTTACATGTGAAATATTTATTACTAGCACCCTAAAAGTGTCCGTTACATTAAAAGAAATTCAAGGTGGAAAAACCCAGCATTTATACTTTTACATCTATTGTAATCGTTTGTTTGCTCTTTTTTCATTGACATTTAGCATCTATTTGATTCGGTTACATTTGTAAGCCTAAGTTGAGCATTCAATATTACTTTGTTATGTCAGCCCCAGATTATAAACGGGGAATTATTACTAGTCTGAAATTCCCGAAAAGTCTTCGTCAAAATTCCGAAGATTAGAGAAATTATTGCCGAGAAGATTACAGAATTAGTTAAAAAAATGAGAAACTGTTAGTTTCATATTGGGATACTTAAATGGATGGCATAGCGATGCTCGGTCCAAATTAAAAGTCCGTTGAGTTATCAACGATTTAATGCGTATGATTAATACCTTACATCAATATTATTTAAACAATTCATTTACCAACGTTGACTTTGGGGTGGGATTTTCATGCTATCCAATGCATCCAACATTAATTCCGATCTTATCGGTAATTTTATCAATAACGAAGTATTAGCGGGTCCATTTAAATTAACTTTACCCTGTGAATATTAAAGATTCACTTGGAAAAATCCAGGCTCACATCTAGTAGGTTTAATTGCTTTGACACTATCAGAAAGCTTTAAATTGCAGGATAAGTATATGGGCTCTTAAAATTCTGATTACCAATGAAGATAAGAGTTTAAATAAATGCGCACACAAAGATGAGAGGAATTGCTTAAACACGTAATAGCAATTATGATTTACCTTAAATCTTATGTTGTATAAAACAACAATGAAGTTAAACATCAAGTAATATACACCCTATAAGATTGTAAATAACAATGCTGGTTTATTAGACACATTTCTTCAGACCCACGGCTGTCAATACTCCTAAGCAAACTTTTGTAGGCAAAGAAACTGAAAAAGTTAGTGGATACAGCCTTAATGAAAGTTTTAGAAAGGGAAAACTTCATGTACTCAGGAACTCGTGAGTTTGGTTGCACAATACAGCTGTAATACAATTTCATTTAATTTGTTACTTAAAACGTATACTGTACTAGGCTTTCACTAGTCTGTTAGGTGTGACAGTAAATTTTCCGTAAATACACTATATTTCCTAACGCTCAATATAGCCCTTACATTTTATGACTTTATTCAGTGAAGTTTCAACCGGTAATTATATACTTAAGAGAACATTCTTATGTCCCACTTCAAAATCCCAAGCCATCAGCTGACAAAACTTCATTTAATACCCTTAAAAAATATGGAGTCACTGATTTGCGACGGTTTACGTGACTGCTTAATATCCGTAAACTTTTCACCTCAACAGGATGGTTTCAGGAAGGGCCACTCTCGTATACCCAACCTGCTAACCGTGGTAGATAGATAGACAACCGTCCTCGATAAAAAGGGTAAGTTTGACGTTATATACCCTGACCTCTCAAAAGCTTTTGATCCAATCAGTCATATATGTCTACCAGTTAGGCATCAGTGGTCTACTGCTATCAAATGCAGTAGCCTGTTAAGCGAAGGCCCTACTCTGTCCAGAACCTTTTGAAGTAAATGATTAATAAACTAGATAGGTTGGTAGTCATTACGTTATTTCTTGAGGGTTATGTTTCCAGGAATTTAAGTGACTCGGAACTTTCCGAAAATGTTGAGTCTGGTATAAAAATTGTGAAGCACAAATCTATTCTGTAGAAAAAATCACAGATGTCAATTAAGTATGGATAACATCTAGTGATGTGTTCATTTATGTTAGTTAGGATTTAGGATAAAAATTTGCTGACATTTATTTTAAAAATTCAACTTTATTTTCCCGAGGACATAGCAGGCGAGTAGAAAAGCCAAGAGCGAACAAAATACCCATGGCATACAGGTTTTCACACCGAGTCATCAATACTTGGAACCTGCTACCTGAAGCAGTGGTGTCCGCACCTTCAATTGACTCTTTCAAGAGCAGACTGGACACTCACAGAAGCATACTAGAAAAGGAATAACATAGGCCGTAGGCCTTCTGTCCTTACTACACAAATCAAAAATCTGAGTTCCTCTTCTTGAGTACTAGAGAAAAACCAAGACTATTTTTATAAAGCCATCAGACGCTTGCTAAACAATTAAACCATCGTAAAGCTATGCATGAAATCTGGTAAGTCAGAAGATACTCACTTCATCAGCAAATCCAACTGACTGACCGTTCCCATAGCTTTTCATTACACTTTTCTGACGAACTACACTATTGTTGAATGTTTTACATAATTCCTTATCGAAAAGAAAAATAACCAAGACTGCTGAAGTACCTTAAGGAAAGGAGTGGGTTATTAAGATAAGTTGTGTACCTTCTGTATTTACAATGCTCATTTGATAACTATTGAAATTGTCACACAGGGTCACTATGGCTATCTTTTCTTTTACAAGTTAAAACAAATTTATTCACCAGGGTAATATTGAGCTCCCCTTAGCGATCGACTGTAGATGAGCAGTGTCCATAGGTTCAGTGAGCTACCTGTCTATTTCAAATAAAAATTAGGTAGGGAAATTATCTCATACGACTACAAGGAAAGAAAGTAAGGGGTATCAAACTCAGAGTCTTACATGGTCTATATACATAGAGGGCCTACGATGCTTGAGTAGGATGTATGTCCGCGCATACTATATCAGTGCAAGCAAGGGCTTCAGTTAGAAGTCTTACAAATGTATGTAATCCAGCTGCCATGCGTATTTTGGAGGGAAGACTGTTCCATATCGATCCGTACTTAAGGAGGAAGAAGTTTTCCCAAGTTTTTGATCTTTATTTTTCAACCTTGACCGTAATACCTTATTTCGATATTCATATACATGTGGGCCTTGGGTAAGGAATATATTACAAGTGGAATAATTAAGATTTACAAGAATTTTAAAGTAAAGAATCAAATTAGACCTAGGCCTCCTTTTTCTGAGATGTTCAAGTCTTGAGATCTGACATTGGGTACTATTATCAGTAAGTGAATCATTTTTAAGCATTTCGCGATTTAAAGGCCGTTGTATTCCTTGCTCTTTCAGCATATTAGATAGGCGTAAGCTGGAACATAAGATCGAACAGTATTCAACGTTAGGTCAAACACATATCTTGTAAAAAATGATTTTAGGTTCATTTTGAAAGTTACGAATGATGTAGCCTTGCGATTCCTGCATTTTAGGTGCTCTGAAGAAGATATGTTCAGAAAAGTTAAGACTGTGTGAGTAATGTACTTTGAGGTCTATTACTGGTGTGATTTTGAGTAAAACCTCTTAGTTACCTGTCAGTTTTATTTCAAGGGAGTATCTCCAAACATAGCCAGCCTCATCTCTCTGTGCTGAATTCTAAGCTTCAGCGCTTAAATTGGTTATCTGCCTTGTTGAGTTCATGTTGTATTTTTTGCATAGTACTAAGTGCATCACATATGTTACTTTTAAAGATGACTTCAAAATCACCAGCGTAATGGCAGGTCTTGCCTATGTTGAAGCATCTGCATAAGAAACTAAAACACCGCCCAACATAATACGACTGGTTATTGGTAGAGTCGTAGATAATGTAGAGTTAATTTTGATTATTTGGCCTCTGTTCTTGAGAAAAGACGTAACCCAATGCAATAGGGGACTAACAACTTCAATTGAATAACGTCTATTGATTAAGAAGTTATGAGGTACCTAATCTAAAGCTTTCTTGGTATCGAAATACAGTTCAACCATTAGTTTCTATTGGTTACGTATGCGAGGAACCTTGTTAAAACTGTCTGTCAGCCGTCTACTGCAATATCTTGTTCTAACAGAGCCGTGTTGTGACGGGTTGTTCAGACTTTCCCTAAGTAGGTGGTAGTATAACTAATCTGGCATAACTTTTTACATTATATGTAACACTACTGGAGTGGTATTCATAGATTTGTAGTTCTGGGTCAGGTTTTTCGGTCTCCATCCGTGTTTGTGGGCACCATACGTTACCTTCCATGTTTCGAGGTATGTACCTGCCTCTCAGAATAGCGTGAATATTCCGAGTAGTACTGTTAGTATGTCCGGTCCCCTCCCCTTCGTAAAAAGCCGATGGGATTTTAATTCGCACAAGAACTTGCATTCGGCTTAAGTGTTTTGGTGGTGGCGTGTATATTACTAAAATCAAAGCTAATGGTACTAAAATTACTTTTGCTGATGAACTTAATGTTAACACCTGAAGCGTGAAATGTATCCTCATTATGGGAAAATCATCCACTTAACAGTCCACATAAAGCAGTTTGGTTATAATACATCATACCATCGTACAGAAAGGAATGCTGTGATCTACTCTCTTTCTTAAGCGTTTTTCACGGAGACGATATAAGTTTTGGGTTTTTGATGCAGTAGTGAGCGCAGTATGTTCCTCTGCTTGTTTTTAGTTGTTGTGCTGACTTTGTACACCTTCAAGAACAGAGTACATTTGGTGTGGGCTACTGATGTCTTTCGATATACAACACATCCTTTTTAGTTTTAGTAGCCTAGACCTACTTTTTGGTTGATTTAAGGAATTATTGTTTTAGAGGCCATTTTGGAGGAAATGGTAGTGTCTGGTGCTGATTTAATTGTGATAATGAATATTCCCGTTGTTTCTAAAGACTTGTCATTAGTGAAGAAATTACTTCAGTCAGAGTAGTTTGTTAGAGATCGTAAGCTTTCCCTGTCAGTGTGCACATAGTCTCCATATTGAAAACGCATATTTATTGCATGCATCTGGCATGAATCAGTAGAGTGTAGAGGACTACATTATGATCGCCATTGTGAAACGATTCGACAACCACCACAGATGTCTCTAGTTTTTGGTGAGTAATTGAACGAAATTTCTGTGAACGCCTACAACAAACCCAGCCAGTGAACTCCCGAAATGTTAACGAATTCTGAAAATGGTGCAGGCCTACTTGACTAGATCACTAGATAATCTATAATGTTTGAGGTGCTTTATAGCATGTACCATTTTGTATTAATTTTTTACATCAATAATATGTAACATATCACAGAAACATCACCACTAAACTCCTATTCCAAATATGAAAGGCTTAATGACTTCATAGAATTATAGTCTACTTCGTTAATAATACTATGATAATAATAGACCTAATCCTAAAATTGTAAATATGTCATGATGTATAAACCTATAAATGGCTATCGTCAAACTTTAATCAAATTGACAAAGTCCCGCTGAAGCAGCCGAAGGGTAAATTTACTGAAAATATCCGTCATGGGTAAAGTTATCTGCGAGAAAACAACACTTTGCTTGAGGAACTGATTATTAGTCAGTTTACCAACTGATTTTGCTTTCAGATTTATCACTTATATCAATCATGTTACATGATTGTTAAATCGGGATATAACGAAACCATTACAATAACAACTCATGCTCTTCACCGGGTTTAAAGTATATGAGAGTAGGCAGTGTCGGTTTAGATGCTGAACACTTTTGATTCTTCAGATTACGTCCAGGTTTATTGACTCGGAGATATCAGCACTTTCAAAATGGCTTGAAAAAAGTCACTGAATTTGGGCGCCCTGACTATATTAGAAATCTTGATGCGGAAGTATTCGTCAAAATAGTGCATGACAATTATGAGATTACAAGAGTAACAATAGGAACAACTAATTAGCGTTGAATTGCTTTATAACCTAAAATATATAATCTATAAACGATACACTTTTCCTAGTAGTATGCTTTCACAATCCTCAAAGCTGAACATTAGATAACTAGGAAAATGCCCATTCAACAATTAACATAAATAGAAGGTCAACAAAGGATAACTTGCCTTTACTCACAATAAATATATTAGTCTATCTCTAAACTCATTGTGCTCTTTAGAAACGAAGAACGAAAAATCGCGAATTCCTACGATAAAACTGGTCAGAATAGACAATGAAGTGACAAGTGTAATATCAATTTAACTGAAATGAATTCAATGATTTACGATAGGGATAAATATTATTGTGACAGCACTTACGACACTAACACATTTTTTGCTACCAGTACCCATGTCACGAGTACAGCCCAGATTAACCCTTTCGTTAGTCAACGTGCAAAGTCTAATAGTCTCTTCGGACGAGTAATGTATCACTCGAACAGCAAAACACTCAAAGTCAATGGTAGTTAGGCTTCGGGCACCTTTCATATGCCATGAGATTTAAGTGAGTACACATCTTGTGATACCACTCTTTACACTCACCGCATTGTATTCCATTCGCTACAGGAAACCTGCAATATGTTTGTTTACATTTGTGAGAGGAGCAGACCATCTTAAAAGCTAACTGAGAATTGTGACACAAAAATGGATATGCAGAAAATCTCAAACCTTAACCAAAATAAATGAAGTCAAAGTCGATTAAGTATGCTTTGTTGTAATAAATACACAAAAGCAACGTCGATACACACAAGTATGACAATACTTTAACTGAAATAAATTCAATGAAAGTGGAAACAGTGGCAGTTTACAATCAAAACAGTAAATTTAACTCAACGAGAAACAATACCACTGCCCGTTTCAAATGGCGCGCCAAGTGATATTGAGACGGAATATGAAGTCGGGAATGTCATGGTTTCGTGAAGGCAGGTGTACATGTTGCTTCCAACCGTGTATGCCTAAGAAAATAAATACACTGAACCAGAGTGTCTTCCAGTTGACGGTGGAAAGATTGAAACCACCACGAATGATTTTTCAGTCTGAAATAAGAGAGACGGCCCTATCAAATAACTAACTTGTAGTCGTTCATAGCTCTCAGTCTATAATATGCACCTATCCACAGCCACTGAAGACCATAGGACACACACAGTGAACCGACAGTACCTAGTCATCTTTACGTGGGGTACGTCTGACTAGCACCAGACCTACTCATGGCACTGAGCTTTTTGAAGTGAACCTCGACTCCGCTTTTGCGTGCTAATTAAAAGGACAGTAGCAGTTTTCCTCGCTGGTTAAATTCTATTGTTTGATTGTTTATTACGTATCAAAACTACCATTTTCACTTTAATTATTTCGGTTAAAGTATTCGATTAGAGTATTGTTTCTGTTGCTATAGCAGCTTGTCGTCGGAACTTTTGAGTACTTTGTTTTCTATTGTATCTGTTAGTACTTTTAGTTCTAACGATCTACAGCTTTCCAATTTTTTGGTCATATATCATTTTTGTCTCTGAATATTATTGTATCTAGTTCTTTTTTTGGAAAAAGGCCCCAGTTTGATGACTGGACAGTGCAAAAAAAGAAATTGCTTATGTCCGGGTTTTCATTGGCCACTAGATGAGAAAAACAGAACCCCATTTTACGTTTAGTAGATTGCGGTTTGTGAACATTCTTGCTATGATCTCAGAGATTATTAGTGATGAAGGGAGCAAATAATAAGACATATTCACACCCAATTCGCAACTAAGAATA